GCGCGTAGTTAATTTATGCAGGTTGATTCTGGCCACCGAATTTATGAGCACATCCAAGGAAACAAGCAATGCCACGGACATACACCCCCACGAGTCCCACTCGACTTAGCTGATACAATGCCACTCGGTGTTCTGTGTCACATGCACAGAAGAGGGGTTGGAAGAAACGACGCTGATTAGAGGTCAGCAGCCCGGGATGGGCCAGCTACACATCACACCAGAAAGCTTGTCTACGATCACCCGATAGTGAGTTGCTGATGGCATCTTGCAACGCTATGGCGATGCTGTGACTATCACTGGTCAAGTACCGCCTAGTCGGACAAATATACTCGTTGTTGAACCTTCGCCACTGAGACGTCAAATTCAAGCCTGTTTTGGGCCCCAAATATTTTACCTTTACAAAAAGTCATCAATGATAAGGGTCTCAATGCCACCCCATGGTAGGCTGCACCCAGACACACAAAGTAGATTCTACCAGCTGGTGAACTAAATCACGCAGGCCGTGGGGAACCGAAGATTACACTGGGTGCTTATCTCTACGGGTGAGTGCCTCCTTCAGAGTATTCGGTGTGGTGCATTTGATCATTGGCTGGTCCAATGCACTCCCAAGCACCCGACCTCCTGGGCCTATAAGGCATGGCGACATCTGCCAATGATGATTTGATCTTGATGTTGTGACATCTTGTTCTCAAGCCGTGTCACCAACCTCCTCGAGCACTTAGTCCAAGACTTATTCTTCAAAATATCTGCGCTGTACATAGGGGTGCTGTGCTCGCCCGGGTCAAAGCTTCGGAGATGCGTTGGAGCTCCGACGCAAGGTGGACTTATTGTGCCACCTCCTCATCGGCCTGATAGAGTCGAAGTCAAAAACAACCACTTACGAGTCACCAAATTCGAACAGCGCGAATATTATGCCGTCGTGGAGTACAAATTAATTACCGTCGCTATAAGATACCCGTTAGTGGTGTACGCCTTCCCAAGATGATTGGTGATTTCTCAAAACAGTGAGCGGCCGTGCCTTTCATGGACTTATCCCCCCGCAGATGGTTATCAGACTCGCTTCGGGAATACTGTTTGGCCACGTGTGACACCGCCAATAAGATTATCCCCATATCTCATCCATCTCCCTGATGTATCGCAATGGGTCATTTTCGCCAACTACTATTGGAAGACAAACCGCGAGAAGCCAATTGCATTTTGAAATTGGCCGCACTAGCATCTGTATAGGCTTCATTTAATCCTGCCACAACGTCGCTATCACACCTGATACAATCGTAGCGCATCTGGAGGCCGGAGTCCCGGCACATCGTTCGCAATGTCCTTCGATGATGGCGAACTAGAGGCATCATGGCATTAGCCATTTACATAGCGGCTCACGCGATTGGACATTACGAGAAAAGCCGGACATTTCATTTATCACCGGCGAAGCGGGGAAACTGCACTTGGCCGTCGCATATGGTGTAGTCCAGCCAGTACTTTCACTAGCGAAATGAACAGAGTCCGTTTTCATTGGAACCAGTGGCTAGCAAGTCGTTATCATTCTCTCCGAGCACACAGGCCCGTATCCGGTAATCCGGTTTCTGGCCGTCTTTCCTCCTGATAACGGGGTATACGAGTGCTCGAAATGGCGCTTTAGCACAGCGGACGATATATATAAGGCCCCACCAAGTCACAGATTCAATGCAACGGTTCTTTTCAAACGATGCGATCGTCTCGTTTTTAAACCAAGACTGGCATGGCGGACGAGGTAACCGACAGTCCCGTTTCCACCCCCACGGTGGAGGTGAATGAAAAGAAAGATGACTTGCTGGTCAAGGAGTCTGTGGACATTCGCGATGTGGAAGTCGCCCCGGGCTTCGTCTCTGAGGCGGACTTCAAGGGGAATATCAATGATGTTCCCATCGGGGAGGGTTTTATCCCCGAGGATAGCGACGAGTTCATCGATCCCCGCCTGAAGGACTATCCCATGCCTTTGGTAGCTAAGACGGTAGATCTTCGCAATGACCCGACGTGAGCTTCTCGTTCTATTTTCAGAGTTGGTCGCATCGCTGATATCCAAGCTACGCAGTGAACCGATCCTAACCTTCCGATTCTGGGTTCTGTCTACCTTCTGGGTCCTTGTCGGCTGCGCACTTTCCACCTTTTACTACTTCAAGCCATACTACAACACAATTACCAGTTATGCCGTCCAGTTGTTATCCTGGGGCATGGGTGATGCCATGGCTCGGTATTTACCCACCAGGCAATTTAGTTTCTTTGGATGGAAATGGTCGATGAATCCAGGTCCCTGGAACGCTAAGGAGCATGCACTTATTGTTGTGGCCTACTGGGGTAGTGTAAGTGAATTTCCCTTCACGGTGATAGGGCCCTTGTCTGGCTGACAAGAAACAGTGCTATACGGCTATCGGAATGGGACCCTTGTCTGCCATCGAACTCTACTACGGTGAAAAGCTCAACGCTGGGTGGTCCATGTTCTTCTTGTTGGCCTCTCAAATGATCGGATATGGCTTTGCGGGTCTCTTCCGTGATATCCTGGTCCGACCCCCGAAGATGTATTATCCCGGAGTGTTGCCCAACGTGGCACTGTTCAATGCGATGCATCGGAACCCATCCGTCACGAAGAAAGCCCTCAAGTACTTTGCCATCATCGCATCTGTTACCTTTGTGTACGAGTGGCTTCCAGAGCTCATCTTTCCTCTGCTGGGCTCTCTTCCTCTGGTTTGCTGGTTTGGCCATGGCAACTGGAAGGCCTTTGTCCTGGGCTCGGGTACCTACGGATTTGTCTGTCCCCATCCCCATACCTGCAAGGTCAAACTTGGCTGCTAACCTTTGAGCATAGGGTATTCTGGACTTGTCGCTTGATTGGAACTATATCACCTACATGTATCCATACTATACACCGCTCTGGTCTAGTATGAACCAATGTATCTTCATCATTCTCTGTGTCTGGATAATCTATCCCGCCATCTACTTCACCAACACCATGAACGCACAGAATTTTGCACCAATGGATACAGGTACCTACACTGCCAATGGCAGCACTTACGACGTTACGGCCATCGTTGGGTCCAATCTTGAGGTTAACCGCACTGCGCTGGCTGAGTACGGGTCGCCTTACTGGGCTCCATCATATGTGTTCTACTGGTTCTGGACTTTCGCCGCCCTTACAGCCTCTATGACCTACGCAATCCTTTGGTACGGCAAATCGGGCTGGGAGGATTTCAAGAACGCCTGGAACAACAAGCGCAGCGACTATGATGACCCCTACCTCAAGCTTATGTCCTTCCAAAAGCGGGTACCCCACTGGTGGTATCTTAGTCTGCTTGGAATATGTGCAGTGATCGCTATTGCTCAGGGCTACGAAGGAAACATGAAGCTGTCCGCGTGGGGCCTCATTGTCATCTGTCTATTTTCGTTTATTTTCACCTGGCCCAACGGCATTCTGTGGGCAGTGGCCAACACACAGGTCGGAATGGGCTCGTTCAGTGATTTACTGGCGGGTGCCATGTTCCCTGGGAAGCCGACTGCCGTGCTTTCAGCCTACACCTACGGCTACTGTGTTTTGGAGCAAAACCTCAACCTCATTTCTGACTATAAGTTCGGGTTCTACATGAAGATTCCGGAGCGAGAGATGTTCTGGGGTCAGGTCTGGGGCACCGTGCTCGGTCCATTCATCAATTACGGCTTCATGCAATTGATCGTAGACCGGGAACGGCCTTACCTGATTGGCCAGCGGACCTCAGCGGCCTGGGATGCTGTGCAAAGTCGTGTTTACTATTCTAACTCCATCATCTGGGGCATCCTGGGTCCTAAGGAGTTCTTTGGTGAACGCTACCCGTGGGTGTACTACTCGTTCCTCGTGGGTGCCGGGGCTGTCTTCCTTACCTGGCTTGTGCAGAAGTGGAAGCCCCGGTGGGACATGGAGCGTTGGTTCAACCCTACGTTGATGTTTTATGGGGGCATATTGTTTCCGACGTACCCGACTACTAACTTCTTCATGTCTTTCCTGGCCTGCATTCTTTTCATGGGCATCCTTCCTCGGTATTTCCCTGTATGGTGGAGAAAATACAACTACCTGACGGGTGTTGGTCTTGATTGTGGAACGCAGCTCATGACCTTGGTAGGTTGTCTTCGCTGACTCGATTGTGCCATGACTAACTTGCTGCAGGTTTGCATCTTCATTATCAATCTGCCCAATCTGTCGTTTCCCTCGTGGTGGGGCAATGATCCTAATGCGACTGATCGGTGCTTCCCTCCGGCTGATCTGCCTCCATATGCATTGAACTGATGACTAGGCTGTCAAATTCGGTACGATCATGAGTGGATGTTGCTTTACATGTGCGATGTCTACAACGTTCGAGTTGTTGTTGCCCTCTGTGTGACGATGTCTGTTACTCAATACTGTTTTTGAATTCTTCCCCTGTTTGTATATACACAACCCCTCTGCTATGCTACGATCCCTTTGGAGAACACTGTATATAGCACCTGCACAATTACACTTTTCCCTGCTTCTGAAACTGAGACCATGAAAATCTTCTTAAAGTCTCGCCCAGTGTCCGTTCATTGTGAGCAAAGCCTTCAGGGCCAGCAGAGTGATGCACTACACTGATGACCACATAGGATGTAAATCAGTATTTTAGCCTGCTCCACTCGAGGAAGTACTGGTTCAGCGATCAGGTAATCTGCAAACAAACTTGTCACCAATGTGTCGGTTTTGTCAATGCCCTCCGGTCAGTCGAACAAAAGGACATCAGGAAGAGACACGCGAACATCTCGAACCAGAACACGGACCACGAAAAATCTGGCAATTGAATCCCGACTAAAAGGATGTTATAGTTTCGGGTCCTGTTGATCAAGCAATCCAAGAGATGCGGAACCGAGTGCATACCTACCCATGACGTAATGGCCATGTTCATATATTCATCAAACGGAATCAGATGAGATAGCAATTACCACAACAATAATCGGAGCATATACTTCTAGTTTATCTCATTACCATCATGAAAATCGTCCTCTTTGGCTCAACCGGGCAAATCGGCCAGTCCATTCTCCGCGCCCTCCTCACTAAGACCTCCCATGAGGTGCTGCAACTGATTTCACCGCAATCTGAATCCACTGCTCGCTCTATAAACAAGCAATTCACAGCAGAGCAACAAAGTCGACTATCCACTGAATCAGTGGACATCCTCTCCTGCAGTACAGACGACCTCGTCCACTATCTCATCAATGCCGAGATTATCATCAGCGCCTTGAACGGTAAAGCGCTGCAAGCGCAGTCAAAGGTCCAAGATGCTGGAGCAAAGGCTGGTGTGGGGAGATTCTATCCTAGTGAATACGGCATGCATCATGTGTATCGGCCGCCGGGGGATAAAGTTGGGTATCTTCATCCGGTAATAAATTTCATGCTCCATAGATCCTTGTTATACACTGAATACTGATGATGTAAGTACAGATGTGGAATACCAAATCCGCCGCCAACGAGGCCTGTCTACACCATCCCGCTATGAAATCAGGCTCTATGACATACACCCTTATCGGCTGCGGGGACTTCTACAACCAGTCTCGTGAGGAGATATGGTGTCCGTGGACGAACCCTCATGCATCCGAATACACGCTGCATATACTCGGCGACGCGGACGCCACTATTGATTTTACGCACATTGATGATCTAGGAGAGTTTATTGTCGAGACGATCAAGCATCCGGAACGGTCGGAGAACCGGACGTTGAATTTCGTGAGTGATCGTATCTCGTATAATGAGATTGCACAGTTACTGGAGAAGTACTCTGGGAAGAAAGTGAAAAAGACAGTGTATCCGATCAATCTAATGGATGAGGTGTGGAAGGATAAGGAAAGAGTGCCGGCGGAGGTAAAAGGGAAGGGCGCATTTCCGGATGATTTCTGGATTCTGGTCAAGGGGATGCAAGGGGCTGGGAGGTTTTGGAGACCGCCGGGGCAGGTGCATAATGGGGAGTTTGGGATGGAGGGGAGGACGTTTGAGTGGTATTTGAGGGGGTTGTTTGGGGGTGGATATGAAGTTTGATGAGTGTGCTGTTATGGCTATAGAATATGTATCTATTGTAGTTGTTGACTGCGTAGTTCTAGGGCGTGTCCAAGACATTGAGCAGACTATTTTAGGGCCTGCTGTCGAACCCCCGCATGGGACACCGATTGGTGCATTTACATTACTCTTCCATGTTCATCTTTGCCTGTTTCAGTCCGTCATCGTACGATCAAGCATTTTGAAGCTTCGGTGACAGGTCGCTTGCCCATGGCAGTAGTAAACTTGATCACCCGAGAGTTCATCAACCTCAATCGCAGTATACCTCCAAAAGACGTACCAGAGAATATCTACTGATATCTCAGCCCAAATAATTACGATATACAATTACTAATTCCTTCAACAAATGCCAGCACAACCCCGCAGTCCACGTCCGTCAAAGTCAAACAATATCACCACTTAATATAACCTGCATCAACCTGCAGCAACACTATTCCCCATCCAACACGGCACTTCCGGTAAGCTGTCCCAATGCAAACACCGAACCATTATTTCACGCAATGCTTACGTCTGCTTCAGATATCCTAAATCAGGTGAAGTCAAATCCGGACACTATGGCCTCGCCTGCAGATCTTAACCGGACCTGCAGGTGCATCATTGACTGTTCCCCGCACGACCAGCTCAGCTACATAAGCTATGCTTTTTTTCACTCTCTTTCGGTCACCGATCTGTCTGCTTTCACCGCGTCTGCCTACCTGTCCATTGAGTGAAAACTGAGCAAGATGCGGTGGCTTCTCACCTCGTCCGTACTGCTAGTGCCAGCTACAGCCCTGGTTCGACCTGATGGCGTGGTATGTCACTTTCATTCCTACCATGTCTATCTCTCGACTAACAAGAAGAATATCATCAATTGTAGGGCCGTACTCCTGCCCTTGGCTGGAACTCATGGAACGCATACAGCTGCGACATTGACGCCGACAAGATCGTGACTGCTGCCAATGAGGTGGTCAATTTGGGGTTGAAGGATCTGGGATATGAGTATATCAACAGTACACCACCCCCACCCCGTTTATCCCCACTACCCATTGCACGGTTGACTGACAGAGACAGTCGACGACTGCTGGTCCGTCAAATCCGGCCGCAACTCCACCACCAAACGCATCATCCCCGACCCCGACAAATTCCCCAACGGCATCTCCGGCGTCGCAGACCAAGTGCACGCCTTGGGTCTGAAACTGGGAATCTACAGCAGTGAGCACATACACCAGCCCCTCTACTCCAGAGAGATCACCACACTAACCAAAGTAATATAAATACTAAGGCGCCGGTCTCACCACCTGCGCCGGCTACCCAGCCAGTCTAGGCTACGAAGAAATCGACGCGCAATCGTTTGCTGAATGGGGTGTTGACTGTACGCCCCCTTTCCCCCATACCTCCCGTCCTACAACCATTGACAGAATAGATAGACCTTAAATACGACAACTGCGGCGTCCCCACCAACCTCACAGACCAATACACCTACTGCGTCCCCGACAGCACCGACGGATCCAACTACCCCAACGGCACCTGCGTGGACCTAACCGATGCTGCGCCCACAGGATACGACTGGGCCACCTCCACCACAGCGAAACGGTACCAGCGCATGCGCGATGCCCTACTCAGCGTCAACAGAACAATTCTCTACTCACTATGTGATTGGGGCCAAGCGGATGTGAACGCTTGGGGGAATGAAACGGGGAATAGCTGGCGCATGTCGGGAGATATTACCGGTATACCCCCCCCCAACTCCATAGATACATACATACTTCTATAACTACGTACCTACCTACCTCCTCATGGATAATATATACTAATAAAGGGGGTTGGACGTAACAGCAACATGGACCCGCATCGCCGAAATCGCCAACGAAAACAGCTTTTACATGAACTACGCCAACTTCTGGGGCTATCCGGACCCGGACATGCTGGAGGTGGGGAATGGGAATTTGACTCTCGCTGAAAATAGAGCGCATTTTGCTCTGTGGGCCATGATGAAGGCGCCGTTGATTATTGGGACGCCTGTATACCTTCCCCTCCCCTCCTACCCTATACACCTGACGGGACATATGCTAATTTGAGATGGTGTTGTGTGTAGTTGGATTCCATCGACACCTCCCACCTCTCCATCCTCCTCAACAAACCCCTGCTCACATTCCACCAAGACGATGTGATCGGTCGTCCTGCGTACCCGTACAAATGGGGATATAATCCCGATTGGACGTTTGATCCGGAGCATCCGGCGGAGTATTGGTCTGGGCTGACGTCTTCGGGGGAGGTGTTTGTGTTGATGTTGAATTCGGAGGACGGGGTGAAGACTCGTACGGCGGTTTGGGGGGAGGTGCCTGAGTTGACGAGTAAGAAGTCAAAGGGGAAGAAAGGTAAAGGGTACAAGGTGACGGATGCGTGGACGGGGGAGGATGTGGGTTGTGTGAGGGATAAGTATGAGGTCAAGTTGCAGGCGCATGATGTAGCGGTTTTGGTTGTTGGGGAGGAATGTTAGTTCAATCTTTCTTCTCTCTTTCCTTATTGAGTGTTGGGTTGGGCGATGGGGATGGTGGTTACTATATATATAGTATTGTGGGAGCGTGAGGATGTGGATGTAGGTATAGTCATTATCATTATATCGCTCCAATCGCTATGCTACCTCGCTGCTGCCTCGCTGCTACCTCCACAAATCTTGTCGACTCTCGCGTCGCCATCCCCCGCTGCTCTTTGGTCGTCCATCGTCTACCGGCACTGCCAGGAATCCACCAAATCCGTTCCCTACTAGCACGCTCTTGCGTGCGTCTCCGCCCCATGACCGACTGAGCTGCGCGTCGTGGAAGCTCACCGGTCGGGTTGTGCCATCACGCCGTCCTCGTGTTGATGGTGGCTCGTACGGCGTAAAGTTCCACTCAAGCTCGTCCAGACCCTTGCTATACACGTTTAGTGGCTGCGAGATTCCTCCGCTGAAGAACTGTGGTCCGCCCTCGCCGCCACCGAATAGTCGCGGGGGCGGCGCCAGCAGCAGTGTCTCTGGGAAGCTGGCGTCGCGGACGTACAGGTCACGCAGTCCTGGCAGGCAGTTTGACATGAGCGACGAGATCAGGTACGTGTAGTAGGATGCAGCTACTGGCGGCAGGCCGTACGACCCCGCCGGCGAGGTGATCTCGTAGTGCAGTAATTGCAGCGACCGGGAAGACAGCGGCGGAACCCGGTCGGTCGGGAAGGACCGCGATACGTCCTGAATGACTGATAGGGCGTGTAGCTGCGGCGCAGCCGACAGGATCTGGTGCAGAGTGGATGGGAGCACCCCCGTCGCAGACAGTGTCAAATATTGTAGTTCCGTGCGGTTCAAAGGCAGGGAGAGAACGCCGGCAAGCCCGCTTGCCGTGACGTTCGGGGTATCGCGAAGGGTCAGCCGCTGGACGGCTGGGAAAGCAGGGAGAGTGTCGGAGAGGTCAAATGCCGAGTCATCCAGCCACGGCAGGTCGTCGAGGGTCAGGTCGCGGAGTTTAGGAAACGAGGCCAGCCCCATGCGAAGAAGCCGCGGCTCAATGTATAATCGAGAGAGTTCCAGCACCTCCAAATTCTGCCACAGACGGGCTTCCGGCAGCTGCGAGAAGCTGCCCTCGGCGCCGTGTCGGTAGGTCATGCGACGCAAATCCGGACACCGTCCGATAAGCTCCTGCTTCAACGCCAGACACGACACGTCATCGCTGTATATCCCGGCCGGCAGGTCAACGTAGCGTATGTTGGGCGTCACGGAGATGGTGCGCGCAATCTCCGCCTTGCTGGCCTCGCGTGTCATGTACGGCATCCGTAGGGAGAGCACCATGCGCCCTAGGTCTCGCGAATCTCGGACAGTCTGCATGAACAGCTGCAGGCGTACTTGCGGGGCATCGATCGCTTCGCCATTGCGGTCGAAGAAGGAGTGGCGTTTTCGTTTGGCGGCAAGTTGGACCTCGAGCTCGCAGTAGTGGACGGCGTCGATACGGACGTGAGCGTAACTAGAACCAGCGATCAGCAGAGAGCGGAATTAATGAGCAAAGAAACTCACAGCAAAGCCCGAGCCTCCAGATACCACCGTTTACAGACCACGGCACAATGTGCCAGGTCGCGCATATCACAGAGCATGCAGCCATCCTCTGTCATCGACTCCTCGGAAGTATCATAGCTCGAATCGATGGTGTGCGGACACACATAGGTGAAGATGCGAGCTAGCAGCGGTCGGGGAAGCTTCTTTGTGAGGTCGAGGCCGGCGAAAGTGTGGTGGGAGTCAAGGCAAAGGTGGTCGTAGGAGGTGGCCACATTCCCCGCGCGGCTATGGCTCTTGGACCGCCTGCGAAGCCGGCTCAGTAAACCCATGATGGTGAGCAGACAAGCGGCATGGACGGTTGCAATGGACTAGAGGGAACGAGGAGCGAAGTTAAAAAGGGGAGATGGAGCGGTGGAACAAAGAGACCGTTAGGGAGCCAGGAGAAAGGCAGCGTGGGAAGGGTGCAAGAGCGAGTGAATAATCAACAGCGCGGTGATGATTGATTGGTGTCGGGAAAGCTGTGTGATGTGAAGTCGCTGCATGAACCCGCAGTTCGTCCCCATTCCAGCGCGTCGCTGGTCAAAGCCGGGGCCGAGCACCGTTTTTTTGAAACGCTTGATTGGCAATTGGCGCAGGACTCATCACATTAGCAAGCGAAATGAGGGGAGACATGTCCCCCAGTTGGTTCATATAAGGGGGGCAGGCGGGTGTTTCATGTTTGCCTCAGGGATTGCTTGGTGGTTGGCATTTTGGTCCCATTTGCCCCAGAAGGTCTCGGCGGAAATTGATCCCAGTTCAACAACCGACGCCGGTGGCTGCAGCAGGGCTGAAAGTCCACCACATAATGGCTGGAAAGGGTTGAAGGGTCTTTCCTCCAAAGCTGATGAATGTAGTAAAATCAAGATCCAAGAATTGAGAGAGATTCTCGCGCGGTCCTCGACGCGTGACCCCAAAGAGTGCCACTAACCCGATGGGGTCATGAGCAATACTCCTCCAACAGTCTATATATACCCTATAACAACTGACCAACTTACCTACCACTGCTGCATACTGTCAATAGAAACCTACATCATAATTTAAAATAAGCTTATCCAGAACAGTTTCTGATCCATTGCCCTCTTCTGGCCACTCACGAAAAAAACAAGGCCCCGTCAACTACATCGCCATGACATCATGTCCAACAACCCAGCCATCAGGACAAATAAATAGCCATCATGCAGACAACCAAGCCAATTCACCTAGTAGTACACTGCCAGGGTAGTCTATTATACTGTGTACATACTACTCCAGGCTATGCGACTTCCTAGACCCTTCCTCTGCCACTCCAGACCCCTGCCACTCCGAACGCCACCCTCCCTATTCAACCGCATCAGCTTCATCCATTTCCAGCCGACAGCAGCTAAAATGGCAAACAACACTCAATACGGAGGCGATCCTCTTCCCGATGTGGGCGCCACCTATCCCTCCCAGAACAACCAATCCAAATCCAGCGAAGACGACTGGACAAAGCGTCCGCCCTACAGCATCCGCTCCCCTGAGGAATTCGGGCCCGTGAAATGGCGTGGGAAATGCCAATGCGGCCAGGTGACTTATCAATCAAGCCGGGACCGACCATTGAAGTCTAAATTCTGCCACTGTCGGGGCTGTCAAGTGACGCATGGTATGTCTGCCGTGTCGTCGGTAGTTTCTCACTTACGAGGTAGTGGCTGAAACATGCTGACTGTGTAGGCGCGCCATTCCAATGGGCGGCTATTTTCCATAAATCTGATCTCGCTTTTACGAAGGGGGCTGAAGGCCTGTCGTTCTACTCCTCCACGAATGACACTCAGGAGTATAAGCTTCCGACTAAGGTGTATTGTTCCTATTGTCGATCCCCTATTATGGATGAGGGACGGAATGTCTGCTTGATGTTTCCGCAAGCCATCGAGAGCGCTGATCATGATGAACATCGGCAGCACTGGCGCGAGGCGTTTGAACCAGAGTGAGTGGTCCTTGGAGTGCCGGCTTAGATTGCATAATGCTTAAGATGTCGTATAGGTGCCATATTTTTTACGGCAAGCGAGTCTTAGATATTCCAGATGGGAAGCCCAAGTGGTCGGGAATTGACGAGCAAAGTGATCTTTTGGATGAGCAAGGCCGCAAGAAGGAATGACTTGATGGGAAGAATAGTAGCCCCCGAAGCCGGATGTAGATATGCATGTTTTGTTTTTCTCTATTATTTAGCTGTCACGAAGTATGAGCAATGATTAGGCTTCAGCCTTGCCAGAAGTTCCCGAGCAGCTGATACTACCGTCGGACCAATAATATCGACTAGATTGAAAACATGTTCCTACTGTGTAAGTCTCCGTCCAGCTCTAAATCAGGGTGATCGACAGGGCTAGAGAACTTCAAGCAGTCATCACGAGCATGTGAGAGCCGGGAAGACTGGCACCCAACCAGCTGCAGTGACCACGAGTGCAGCTATGCTAGCCAGCAGCTGACGACTTCCAAACTAGTCCAGTCGATACCCCTGAAATTCAGCACGATGCCATCCTCATCGATCATCCGGGGTGTCAGTAGGCACCAGATTCATCCGCGAGACCTGGAGTGTAGGGCGGGGTCAGCCAGCCGTAGCCAGATAGCATCGCGAACATCGAATATTATATGCCGCGATACCTAGATAGATGCTCTTCAGAGTAGGATGCCTGCCATATAAACTCTGCATGATGTGGCTTAAAAGCAAACACACTGTAGTGGCTCTTCTCGCCGCACCTGCGGCAGCCGTCACACAGATATCCAACGATGAAATGAACAACTTCCTCAACCAGGGCGCTGTCGAGCTCGCTACCCGTTACGCACCTCTCTGGTTCTTCGGCCAGGCAGTGGACCAACCTCCCTGTTATCCGACCTGGGCTTTCAGCGGCTCACCCAACTCGTCGGACATTTACGACGCAGCTCACAAAACACCCGCTGCACCGCAGTGCGAGTATCCAGACGTGGGCTGTGGATGTCGCAAACCTGGAGTTGCAACAGGGAATCCTGGCCCTGCATTCCCCATCTACTACACGTTCAAGCAGTGCAACGAGACCGATGTGCGGGTAGTGTATAACCTGTTCTATGAAAAGGACGGGGCCGAGGTGCTGGATCTGATTGACACCGGCCATGACTAGTAAGACACCGCGTAGCCTGCCCATTCTCGTTGAACAGGCAGTCTGACTTGGTCGACCAGTGACTGGGAGCGAGTTGTCATCATCCATTCACGAAATGCGAACAACACCTGGCAACCCTCTCGAGCACTCCTGTCAGCCCATAGCGGCTACCATAATCTGGCATGGGGTAGCATCCATAGCACGCTGACCACAGAGCAAATCAACGCTGGAGACGCTCGAAAGCCTGATGGTGTCAAGAACAATGACCATCCAAAGGTGTATGTGTCGTGGTCGAAGCATGCACATTTCGATACCGTCTTGACTACCTGGGTTGATCCGCTCAGCCAGTCACTCGATAATGCGTTTCGCAGCGATGACTGGTGGCACTTTGTCGACCAGAAGTACTATGTACGTCTCAGTATCCCTGGGCATAAAGTATCGCAGCTAACATCGCACAGATACGATCGGATAACTCGACCGCAGCTGGAATAGCATTCAACAGTACAGATTGGGGGTCAGCGACAAGTAATCCACCATATGTACAGGAGAGCGTATGCTCTGCGCCATAGCTAATCTCAGATGTATATACTTTAGATGGTGAACATTTAGCGCAGAAGCCGATTGATGAATAGATGGTCATGCCAGAATGAGCCTGTAGTATTGCAGCGATAAATAATCAACATCCATCCATCCCAATCGGGAACCTGAAAATGACGTCGATGCGCGGTTCCTCCACCAGAAATTCAATCCCTCACTCCAACAACATCACAACAACAACAACTTCATCAACAATTCCTACCCCTTCCCACAGAAATAACTGTATGTCCTCCCTAATATACGGCTCACCAACTAAACCACCCTCCCCCATCCACCACCACCCTCCCTCCCTCCCATCTCACCCGCAAACAACCCCCCACCCACCACCCAACCCCGCAACCTCAAAACCACACACACACACACAAACAGCGACAGCTAACCAAACCAGTCCCAACCCAACTCCTCAACAACAATGTCCTGGACCCAAAAAACCTTCACCCTGCCAGCCCGCTCACGCGGCAGCTACCTCATCACGGACCACGTGCTGGAGCAACTCCCCGAGATCAAAAACTACAAGGTCGGCATGCTGAACCTGTTCGTGCAGCACACGAGCTGCGCGCTGTCACTGAACGAGAACTGGGATGATGATGTGCGCGCGGATATGAGCGATGCGCTGGATCGCATCGCTCCGTATGATAAGAAGGGGAATCTTTATAGACATTCGGCTGAGGGGGAGGATGATATGCCGGTGCGTTTATCCTACTATCTTTGATCCTTTGGGGATAGTAGTAGTTGGGGGAGAGGGGAGGAAAAGGATTATACTGATTACTTACGTGTGTTTGCAGGCTCATATCAAGTCCGCATTGATTGGCGCTTCGGTTACGATTCCCATCTCGAATGGCCGCTTGGCTACGGGCACATGGCAGGGTATTTGGTACCTGGAGTTTAGGGCCATGAGACACTCTCGGAAGGTGGTTGCTACGATTCAGGGTGAGAAGGCTTGACTTGGTGGTTGTGATGGTCGTGGTAGTGGTGGGGGGGTGCGGTTGTGATTGTGTAGAGTATATGTCTGAGTGGTGTAGAGTGGATGGCGTACGTGTGGATATCTCAGACTATATATCCTAGAAATTGAAAACATTCAATCTAACGACTTCATTGACCTGGTACATCTGTACAACAGCCGTATGGCTAAAGGATAAAAACAAAACATCGTCAACGCCTATAAAATCAATTTTACCGCTGCTCGAATCCACCCTCGGTCACACGCTGGCTCTCGTTCACCTCGGCGGCATCACCGGTGGGCTCGAGAGGGTAGCTGGTGGCGGGGAGGGACTTGAGGTAGGCACGGTGTTGCTCGTGGGCCTGTACATTATCAGCACGTATCATTAATACCAATTCAAATGGCAGCATACGAAGGGAAGACCGCAGTAGCCGCAGGTAGCAATCTCGGGCTTGTCGGTGTTGATGAAGACCTTGGGGTGGCCCAGGGGACCGCCACCACCGTCACAGCTGACGACGCGCTTTTTCGTCCAGCGGACAGGCTGTCTGTGGATGAGCTCAATGGCAGCCAAGGGTTGGGGCTAGGAAATGTCAGCGTCTCGTGTCTTATATATCGATATTGTCGTGATTTTGATATTCCCTATCCCACACGACCAATTGACCGGAACTGGGCGGAGGAAGGTCTTTAACAACGCACCTGCAACTCCATTATCGTCTGCTCGAAGCGAGGACCAACCATGGCCTTCTCCTTCGGCTGCTGGCTGGCAGCCCAGGTGGTAGCCCGGTTGGGAGCCTGGAGGTGACGGGTGCGCTCGCCCGCCTCGGGTTCCTCCCTCAGGGGAGCATCCCAGCCGCCCATGGCGTCAACGGGAGTAGCATTGGTGCCAGAGACATTCGGCTTAGCGGTAGGCGGGGTCGGGTCGTTGGCAGGGATGAAGTTCTCGGAGAGGCGAGGGACGGTGGTCGAGTAGCTGGCCCGGGCAGCGAATCGGGGGGTGAAGGTGGAGGAGAGGGTCGCGACCCGGCTGCGGAAGCAGGGCAACATGCTGGGCAATTGAGGTCCGGAATGGGACTCGAGAGTAGCTGGCGGATGGAGCGGAGGTGAGGACGAAAGGACTCGGGTTGGAGAGAGATTGGATGAGGTTTCCAGTTTGCGGGAGCTGCTGCGCTTGAGCCGCCGGCCAATCGGCGGCGCTCCTGCGGCTGATGCGGTGGGATTCTGCCGCCTGGGAATTTCGGCTTTGCAATCACGGCCATTCTGCTGGCTGTCGGTCTTCAATTCTGGATGACTTCAATTTTTGCTTGTTTTTGACGGTTTTCGGTATTGCATTCACATCTTCTACACGTTCGTCATGAGGGGCTCTCCTACCTCTGGCTCCAAGCCAGAGAAGACCATGTCTTCGCGGCTGCTGACCATGAAGGTATGTTTAGCAACTTCATAATTTATTTTCATTTTCCGTTTTAAGCATACTAAAACAATGTCGTAGTTCATGCAACGTGCTGCTGCCACAAATGCTGCCCGTGAAACATCTCAGCCCGCATCCACCGACGAGTCTAAGGCCTCTACTCCCCCGAAGCGACAGAGATTGTCCACCGGCCCCGCTGAAAGTCCCATCGGTACTGCCAAGTCGGATCTCGAGGCGATCTCAGCTGCCCTTGCTGAGGAAGAGGAAAAACGGAAGGAAGCACTTGCACGCCAGGCTCAAGATTCCGGTGACACAGAATGGGTGCTCGACTATGGTGTGGCGGAGCCGGTTGCTCAGTATGCTGCGCCGCCGCCATTCATTGTCGCGGATGGCTCGCTGGATGCAGACGACGATGACATGGCTGTCGGTGGCCGACAAGCATACGGCAATTTCAAACGAAAGAAGAAGACCGCGGTTTGTTTGATCACATGATACACATTAAACATTTCTCTGACATTTTGTAGACTGGTGAAACCGAGGCCGAGTCCGATGATGATGATGTTGATGCGATGATTAAGAAGGAAAGCAACAAGCCACATCGCGTCAAATTGTCACAACTTACAAGCATCTCCGGTGGAAGACATTCGACGATGGGCGACGATAAAAAGCAAAAGAAGCGCAAACATAAATAAAGTACATTTGGATAACCGACACATCTGGAGACAAGTATGTTCCGGGCCTTGCTCGCCAGAAGATGAGATTCGACATTGCCTTACCAATAAGTCCCGTTAACCCTCGCTTGGGCGTGATCATGAGCCTGGTAGGCCTCATATGCTCGGTCGTGGTAGCCCGTCATAGGTGAATATGAGAACGGGTGGACATCGGTACCACTCTTAGGCGCTGTGCCATACCATTGGCTTCTGCCAGGATATTTGTCTTTTGATCTATCATAGTCGACGACTGCATTCATTCTTGGTTCTACTCTGTCGGCAGTAGGACCGTACAGGTATCTGGCAGAATATGTTGCTAACCTACGGACAGCAGGTTGGCCGTTGGTGTACTGGTATGAGGACGTGTTATGCTGTCGGGTATTCTCTCCTGGCTGACATTGAGCTTGACGAGACTCTTCATCTTTTTCTTGGCGTTCCATGAGTTGTCTGCAAGATTCTTGGAGCTGCGCTTGTTTTCTGCGGCGCTCAAGCCAGGCCTCTTTGCCCAGCTCCAAGAGCTCACTCTTTGGGACTAGGTGAACTGCTTTCGTCAGCCCGATCACTTTGAGTACTTGCATTACATACCGCGCTTCTGTGGAATGTCCCCAGTATACTGCTGACGACGGGTCTGAAGGGTGGTATTATACTGTCTTTTCAGGTCGATTGGCCGGTGTCCTTGCTGGTAAACGTTGGGAGGGAGCGATGAGCTATCTGCACGCTGCTCTCGTCTGCGGTATAGCGTAGGACTTCGCTCGTCCACCTCCACCCAGTATTCCATTTCATCGAAGCAGAAGCACATCTTTAGCGCGTATTTTAGATACCAGCTATAGTACCTGACCTAGTCATCACTCGTCAGTATTCATCCACAGATTCAATTCAACACATTGATACATACTCCTTCGCACCAAATGCACTATCTTGTAAAGCTCTGTACTCGAATGCTCAAAGCGAGATGTTCATGGTCACACCCTGCCTTTGCAGTGAGTAGAGGTGAAGGAGAATTCTGGCTGAGTGAAATTGATCATGCTGCCAGCGTGGGACTGAACGCCGAGAACCAGCTATACCTCCCTGGGCAGTCACCAGCAGGTGTTCCAGACGACGACTAAGCAATCCAGCGTGATCACCAGCATGTGATATCATTAACACGAACCATACAGCTTACATCTAGCACCAGCACGCCAATTCACACCCATCAACCCTTACCCCATAAGCATAGCTATATCTACAGCTACAACTTCGCCTTCACCTCCCTCTCCCTCTTCTCCCACCCCCTCTTCAACCAGAAATTCACCCCCAAATTCCACATCGCAACCGCCACACCCACCGGCGGCACCAACCACAACATCCAAGCCCACCACTGCGGCGTACTCTTCCTGACCACCCTCATCGCCCTCTGCACCTCACTCTCCAACTCCCCCTTATCCCCATCATTCCACACCACCACGCCCCTCGCCGACTTCACCCCCCGATACTCCGCCCTCTCCACCTTCCCCTTGACATCCCCCTGACTCCTCACTCGATTCTCCGCATCCTCCGCCGTAAGATGCGCATCCCTTTTCCTCAACCTCTCCATCTGCACCGTCGGATCCGAAACCCCCACCACCATCACCGTCCCACACAGCAGATCCATCCCACTCTCAAACAGCAACGGCACATCCAGAACCACCGCCCAGTGACCGCGCACATAGTAGTATAGCAGCGCTTTGTAGACCTCGCGCCGTACGGCCGGGTGCACGATCTTGTTGAGGATGGCGCGGTCTCGCTTGCGGGCTTCGGTGGTGCCGAAGACGCGACGGCCTAGTGCTGGGCGGTTGAGGGGGCGGTTTGTGGTTGTTGTTGTGTCATTGGGGTCGGATGCTGGGAGAAGGAGATCCGGGGTGGTTGGGCCAAAGTAGTTCACGATGGCTTTGTAGCCTGGGGTGCCGGGCTCGACGACTTTGCGGGCGATCAGGTCGGTGTCGATGATGGGAATGGAGTAGGGTGCGGCGGAGAGGATGGAGGAGACGGTGGATTTGCCGGTCGCGATGGAGCCGGTGAGGCCTATTATGAGCATTTTGGGTGTTCTTTGTGTTTGTTTACAGAGTAAAGGTGATGTTTCGTGGAATGTCAGGTGGGAGATGGAAGTTGGAGAAAGTTGGTGGTTGATCTGCGGGGAGAGCTGCAACTTGGACCGAGGCCAAGATTACTACCCGCTGGATTGATTTACTTTTGACTGTGATCACTTCAAAGCCAAGTTTCTGGTCTGTTGATGAACGTTCAATGCGTCAGAATTATTTCGTGTCTAATGAGTCTATCGTAAATATTATACAGGAAGAGAATTTTTTCCTCTCGTTTCATAACCCCCAATTGCAATCCCACGGCAGGGAGCGCTCTCTAGTACCTCCAAGCTTGGGATATTGTACCTGTCACTTTCTCACTTTCCTCCCAGCCGATCCTGCAGTCTGCCTCGCATTCTTCAATCATTGTAAACAACAACAGGCAATCGCGCGATATCAATAACAGTCGCAGGGAATTCGAATGTTTTCTAGAAGGCAGTGAAGAGTTTCCGGTTCTTGTTCCCCATCCTCAGGAGTCGGATTGACCTGCTCCCAAGCAGAGTTTGAAGCGGTTTCTAGCGGACTGCGGTTTGGTGTTAGTATGATTGCGCCCAAGAGTATATCTATCGAATCCATCTCACCTGGCCGCCCAATCAACCAACTGCAGTTCCACACTTGTGGCAATTCTTGCCGGGGATGACCCAAACATCAGTCCCCTCTGAAAGACAATGGGGACATTTCATTCCGGGCATCTATGTCATTAGCATCGGTCGCAAAAGGATAATCACAACACATAGCAACTCACAGGCATGGTGACGGCTTCGCAATGAGATCGACACAAGGAGAAACAGAAAGTATAAAGCTCTCAACCAGAGGATCAATTGTGATGTGAAAGTAGTAAAAGTCAAACTGAAGGGTATTCAAAGGATTATAGACTTGTTTCTTCGACAGAGTTCACTCGTCGGTCCCGAGCATCCCACCTATATATAGCCAAAACTGGACTTGTTTGTGACTCCCCCCCCCCTCCACCCCCCATTACGCCTCCTGGGGCAGGCGACCTATGTTCTCATCGGGAGATCTTCACCTTAGTCTGGACCGATTGATTGGAGACACGACCTGGCCGGACTCAATGCATCCAAAGATCAATCATACATGGACCCTGGTTTAGGCAACATGTCATGTCCGCCGCAGCAATTATTCGGATGACTCGGATCTTCCCGTCGATGACTTGCATCTGGGGGTCCCAGCTAAGGGGAACCTCAACCAGGGAGGGTTTCAGCTCTCCTTACCTTGGTGTGATAGATACGTGTTGGGCTATACCGAAAATCGTCTAGGTGGGTGGGAAGAGTGAGTGATGCATGCCACAAGGGCTGAGATGTGAGCGATAAAGGAAAAAGGAAAGAGAGACGTGAACTATAGCAGCAGAGCAGCAGAGCAGGGGGGGAGGAGGAGGGATTGGACAGGGAAAAGGTGACAGAGAAATTCCACAAATCCCCGAAAGGACCACTCAGCATTTGAGATGCATACAACAGACCGTTTTATGCAAGCTACGACGGGGTTCTCGGTAACCGGGCCCTTGCTGTATGTCCTATGGCCAAAAGAGCAAATGGATTGTGACTGGTGTTGGGAGGCCGGGAGGATCAATCTCTCTCCATCCCTAATCCCACACATTCCCTCTGGAGCTAGAGCAGTCGTAGTGGGCTCTCAGCACAAAAGATCAGCTCCGAATTTTTACCATCTGATGCTAACAATGTATAGGTCACACTCAATCTAAATTGATGCTCGATGCGAGTACGCTACCGAGTTAGCGCCGGCTGCAGCCCGTCTCGCGCATATGGCGGGCTTCAGGACGCAATCCTCGATCTGCACAACCCACGGCGTTCTCAACAGCCACATTGTATTTCTCTCTGCATATCCTGATTTATGTGATATGCCCGTCTAGCTTCAAACGGGTGTCTGCTAATTACTCATGCAAGAGTTTCGTCGTTGTGCATGGTGTCGTACTCAATCAGCCGCAGGTTGTTGGCCAAGTGGGGAAAAGAATAAACAATTTCAAAAACAAAAGTAAATTTATCGTTCCCTCATGGCTCAACCAATGGAGTGGCTAGAACCCCTACAGCCCAAGGAGGCTGTCCAGCTGAGATCTGATCAGTGACACTCTGGTCCACTTAGAGCCCGGCTGTACGAATCACCCACCCTCCCATGCGATCTGAGGCTGTTCTACATGCCGAATTTTGGGAAATCCATCTTGTGGAATGGAAACTCATGGTGTAGAAAATGGCATTTCAACCTATGCATATGAAGCTATATTGTTTGCTACATTCTGGCTGCCTGTCTCCTCATCTGCTATCGGACTAAGCACCAAGCACTAAGAGTACTTGACGGGAGGGATGGAATGCCGATGCGCCAATGATCAGGCCGGATCAGTCAATTACACCACACAATATCACCAGTCAATATCGGGACCCTGTCTTCTGCACAGATCTATACCGGTGGTTGGGAAGTGGTCTATCCGTTAGATGTACCAGCGCTGCGAATGCAACGTGCAAGGGCTACCCTGGGTACTTCGACTGCGCTTCTACTCTTGCTTCTATGAGTCGTTTTCCATTTGCATGCGTGTTATGTATAGATTATTTCATTCTATTTTTATTTCTGCTATTTTTTAATTCTTTGGTTTTGGCCTGATCTTCGCGTTCGTTCCGTTCAAGTCTCGGGGTTATGAAGGCACCCCCGACACAGGTGGCCGGTTTCAAGTCCGACGGTGGCACAGGTAAACGCACAACTTACTTTACTCTATCACAGTTCGGTGGATTAACCATCGCCAGACGTTGATCAGTCTATCACTCACGTCTTGGCCAGGAAAGCTCAGACCGACTTACGGCCGGTGATTCGCAGGCAAGAATTGGATACATATAAGCTGTGGAGCCCCTGACCTCGCTTGATGGGCCGAAGCGCGATCCGAATTATGCGGATAAGGAGGGCTGATTGGGCGAAGTTATTCTCCGCTGTTTGTCCCCCTCGTCGACCCTGTTTTTATTTTTCTATTCTTTGAAGCAGCCATGCAGCTGGCACAGTCACACTAATTCTTTCACCCCCCGGGGCCAGTTCATCCCAATCCCTTTGCCTTCTTTCGGTGCTTCGAAGTGGCTCCGGACAAAGACTACGAGTCTAGCGCCAAATTACCGGCCACGCTAGACCGGTAGTCGCCCCCGAATATCGTAATTGGACACTAAAAGCAGCGTGATATTCATCGAATGTGACATGTCACACTTAGTAGATATGGGGGAAAGGAAGGGACCCGCTCCTGTCAAACAACGATGGCTAATCTAAGGAAGATAGTACTAACGATACTATCTATCTATCTATCTTTCGGGATAGGAATAGGGATAGATACTATTTACGGGGTACTCTACCAGTGAACTCTGCTCGGTAGTAGTAGTCCTCTCTCCATCTGCATCTCCACCAACCAACCCAAACATCAATCCCCGCCCATTCCCATCTATTCTATTCTGTTTCTCCCGCCCCCCCTCCCACCTCTTTGTTTGCTTGCTTGTCCCATATTCCCGGATTCCATCCATCCATCCATCAAGCAGAAGGGAAACCCAGATTTGTCAAACCAAACCAAATCCATCCTGCCGCGCCATCATCATTCCCGGAAAAAAATCTCACAGTTAGGCTGCCATCATTGGGGACTCGCATCACGCTCACCGCAATTTATTTTTCTCACTACCATTGATGCATTATAGCTCAGCAGCAACAACAATAACAACAACAACAAAACTCTTCACCGCGTGTATCCACCCCTGGGGGGAAGCGCTTTTTTTTTGGTCCCCGATATCCCTCATGTATAATATAATCATAATGTAATGCTCAGATTGATAAACTTTGAGCCAAATGCATCTTGCATACGGTACATACATATCACCAGCTTTACTTTTTTTTTTTTTTTTTTTTTTCTCAAAGGCATGGTGGGGAGGGGGTTTGAGGGCCCAGGTATGTGCATATGTAAGTCGTCCTCTTCTCGGCTTGCATGGGTCCGGCGGTCTCAAAACAACCTTCGCCAGCTCGCCACAAATTCCAGGATGCTCGGGGTTCGTTCTTGCTCAAACGTCCTGCATTCGCTGACTTGTACTACTGAGTTAGTTCCCGGGGTCTCGGTGATTGACTATGACTGACTGATTGACTGACCCGAACTGGCTGGTTTGAAAGATAATCATTTATTGAAGCTTTTCCGGCGCGCAAGGTGATATACTCTCATCATCATTTCAAGTCGTGCGCAGTAAGCCCAATGATGCTACTGGATACTTGTGTTGTACAAGCCTTTTCCGGCGGTCCTTTGAGTGATCTAAATCCCATCCACTTCATTGGATGGATATCTACTTTACTACCACGGGCGCATTGCATTGCGAACCATTCCTTTCTGTTTTGTATTCTGCAACCACTGCATGAGAGTGAGTGCTTTAATTGCTAGAAATTGCCTCATACTGGTTACCCCTTGAAAAAGATAACCCGCCGTGGCCAGCACAGCGGATTTCCTGTAAGCTCTCTCTCCCCCTCCACATGTGCAGGCGCCATACATACATACATTCATTTCATGTACATTGATCATACAACCGGACGCGCGCGAATTTTTTTTTTTATTTTCTCATCCTCCCTGCCTCGCGCTCCTGGCTTCCGCTTTCCTTCCTAGACCTGCTCGACTTGCTCGTCCGATACCCCGGCGACAACACTGTCCTGCTTTTTCTCCATGTTCTCGGAGCCGGTCTCGTCCGTGTGTCGCGTCAGTCGTTGGCCTGGTACATGGCCGTATTGCTTTCGCTGTTTTACGAGCTCTTTGGACATTTGCACGGCATTCTTTCCTGGGGTGGTGAACAGGTAGTCGATCTCCTCGAGGGTTAGTTTGGCGGTTTCCGGGTAGCAGAAATAAATTAGTGGGACGAAGGCGAAGTTCAGGCACATGAAGATGAGGTATGCTTTCCATTGCAGGCGGTTGATGATGATGGGGGTGATCATTACGACGAAGAAGTTCTTTTCATTTGAATGATTGTTAGTCGTGGAAGGATATGGGAATTACTGGTAATACTTACCCAGATCCAGTTCGACGAGATACCCACGGCTGTTCCTTTGGCGCGCGCATGGAGGGGTAAGATCTCGGGCACGTAGCACCAGGGGATGCAGTTAACCGAGGCGCCAAAGATGAGCATGTACACGAAGAAGAAGGCGACAGCAGCTGACGAAGTTGCATGCTCATTGGCATGGCCCTTGAAACTGAGCAGGATGGATACCATCATCATGCAGATGCCCAGGCCGAATGATCCCCAGATCATGGGAGCTCTGCGACCGACGCGATCCACGAAGAAGGTGGGGAATATACTTCCGACGACGAACATAATCTGAACGCAGCCGCCGAGGAGATTGGAGAGATTCTTGTCCAGGCCGACGTTGGTGTTGAGTACGGTGGGGATGTAGTATCTGGGTTTTCATTAGCAAGGCTTTTAGGATCTTTGCGAGGTGAGTTTTATGCCCAACATACACGACCATGTTGATACCACCCATCTGATTCATGAATTGCATACCGTATGCAAGAAGACTGCGCGGTTGTTAGCAGATGATTCGCGACATAAGACGCAAGACTTACACTCTGTGGCCTGTGGAAACTTCATCCCGCTTGAAGACATTTCTGGTCTCGTCAGCTTGCATCAAATTGCGATGTTGAAGGTGGGCACATACCTCCACTTGTACTCGCCGTATTTCGTCTCCACGGAAATAGCCTCGAGGATTTCTTCCTGCTCTGCCAGGATCTTCGGGTCATCCTTTGGGCGCCCATACACATCACTTAAGATCTGCAGTGCTTCTTCGTTGCGACCTTCCTTGTAACAGTACCTTGGTGATTCGGGCAGCCCGAACACTAGAACAATGACCACCTAGATCGATAGATAATCTGCATTAGCCAGAAACTCCAGTAAGACACATAATATCATACTTACAAAAGCGAAAATCATCTGACACGCTATCGGCAATCTCCAAGCGATCTGACCACCAACATAGCTCATCCCGTAGTCGAAGAAGTAGCTATTAACCACAGTCAGCATATCAACATATAAAGATGGCCACAAGTCGCAATGACCCGAAGGGAAGGAAGAAGATACCTAATAACAATCCCCACCCCAACCAACAACGGCTCACTACACACCAACTTCCCGCGCTTACTCGCCTCACACAATTCCGCCTGATACATCGGCACCGTCGACGTCTCCACGCCCGTTCCGATGCCCGTCACGAATCGTCCGACCATCATATGGGGGACGGAGAACGCGGAGCATTGGAGAGTTGCTCCGATCTACTCCCACAATATTAGCAAATCACATCACTGATGTACAAAGAACGGGGTGGCCTACGATGACCCAAACCATAGCAAACCACATTGCCCGTCGGCGTCCCAGCCAATCTCCAAGTAGGAAATTGACGATACAACCGGCGAAACAACCCAGATTGTAGATCGATACGATGATCCCCTCGAGGCTGTCGTTGGGGTGGTTCATGGTGGCGAGGAAGTCGTCATTTTCCACGATGCCAGAGAAGACGCCTTGGTCGTAGCCTGCGTAGTATTTGTTAGAACAGATGGGAATTAGATTGGGGAGGTGTTGGCTGGGATGGGGGATATACCGAAGAGAATGAATGCCATGCCACAAGCCGCCCATATTGCGGCTTGGAGGACGAAGCCGGTGCCGAAGAGGTTGAGTTTTGGCATTTTCTTTATATCCCTTTTCTAGTTTATTCAAGTCGCATGTAGGGGTTTTTGATTTAAGTTCAATCCCTTGGGTTCAACTCTCCAGTCGGAAATGGGTCGATGCATTACTATATATGTACATTGTAGGTAGTAGTGAGGGTATGTGTGACATCGGATAAACCCCGTCCACCCCAAGCCACGGCTCGAATTACTGAATCATGGAATCGTAGTAGAATCTCGGTAGTACCACCACCCCGAGATGGCATGCAAGATCGTCACCCAGCCGGCAAAGACAACCCTCGTCATCGATCATGATGCTGATTCTTGGGCCAGTTACTCAAAAGGGAAGGTCGTGGCAACGATTACCCCGGATTGTTGGGGCGCTAGACCAAATTCGGATATGAGGGGGGAATGATGGCCCGGGGTTGGCGACGAGATCGGATGCTGCCGTGCCGTCTTGGGATGGTCTTCTTTTTGCGGTGATTTCTTGGGTTAGGGTTGACAGTAGACGTCATTTGATGGTTGTGGGTGTGTGTGGATGAAGGTTGGGATGTGGAAGTGCGTTGGATAGATAGTACGTGAGTTATAGAGTGTATAGCTGTGGTCATGATAAACCTTGGGGATAATATACAGCTGCATTGGTCCAATGTCTCTATCTCTAGTGAGTAGTATCGGTTGGAAGAGTATGATATGCTTTAAGGAATGCGAAGTCTGGAGTATTGTATCTTTGTTTAAGTTATAGACGGACTTGGTAAGTTGAGCCACCATCAATGTAGAAAGCTGGATATCTGCACGTGCTAAAGGCTTGTTTTCTATATATTTGAAAATCTTCCAAGCGTTTTTTCTTCCTCATGGCGTACATCTACTATACTTATTGTGTATAAACCATTGCATTGGGGAACATGTTTCTTTGCTGCACTCAATGGCAGAGTCCATCATGGTTCAGTGCGAGTCAATTGACCTCGGCGGATACTCTCGAATCCAAACCGTTTAACCCGGATATCTTTGTATATATTGAAACTAACGATGGATGTTTGCCTCCTAGCACAATGGCGTACTTTTATTGAAGATGTTCAGTCACTTTCATCTCCATCTTCAGGATGCTACCCCGCATCCCGCTAAACCCGTTCAGGACTCCATGCGGAGCTGCGTTTCGGCTGTCGCTCTTTGCTTCTGCCGATTCCTTTCCTCATGGTCTGATCACCACTTTGACAGCGCTCTCGGGAATCAAAGAGGCCTCGTTACTCAAAGCATCCTTCATACTTGACTCTGACTAACCACTTGGCTTAACTAAAGCACTAGACTGACATGTTGACACAACTATTCGCCCTAGTAAGTGAACGTTGGACTTTCCTACTGCTCTGTAAACAACCGCTTGCTCACGATGTCTTCAATAGAGTATTGATTGTCTGTTCTATCTCCTATGATCCAGCATCATCGCCATGGACGACACCACGTTTGGTGAAACACCCAGGAAACGTGCGCGGACCACTTCGCTACAAGAGCAACCCGAGCCAGTACCTGCAGACAACAGTTCAGAATCGCCGGCATGGGACCAACTGCAGAGCCCTTACCACCTAGCAGACTACTACACTGATCAGCACAACTCTCCGACATTGCCCATCGGCAGTGACCCTTTTCAGTCACCAGCCGCTAGCTGGACCCAGGATGGCTTCTCGCAGGATCCCGGTTACCTGGCCTCACAGGAAGAGCTGCGATGCATCCTATTTTCTCTCGCGAACTCAACTGCTCCAACCCGAGTATCCAGCCCAGATGTTGTGGGAAGGTTTGAACTAGCCGAACAATCACCACCCTCAAACAAATACCAGCCAGAACGGAGAGGGGAGCTCTTGCAGTCTTCTCTGTCGAGCAGGAGGCGAATTGAATATCTGAAAAACTACGTGGCAGAAGTAGCACCTTGGGTATGTGCTGTAGATGACGACTTTTATCGATGCATGACTAAAGAAGGAACAGCTGGACATGTTCGACTCTCAGTGCACCTTTCGTCAACAGGTTCCCGTGTTGGCTCGCTCCTTTCCCGCTCTTTCCTACGCCATGCTTGCCATTTCTGCTCGTCAGATCGAACGCAAGAATGGAGTTCGAAATTGGTTTGACAGCCTCGAATTGTACCAAGAAGCTATCAGACGGCTGAGCCCGCTTCTTCAACTACGTGACCCGAAAATTGTAGCAGCATGTGTGCTTCTCTGTTGCTTAGAGATGATGTCTGCCCGTGCCCAGGATTGGCGTCGCCATCTTGAAGGCTGCGCCGCGTTGTTTGATGCGTTTGGAATCCACGGCTTCAGCCAGGGCATTCTACAGGCAGTGTTCTGGTGTTATGCAAGAATGGGTGAGTCTAGAGCTGCTTTGTATCCCTTTTTTGAGCATTCTCCTTTTGTACTGTATATTTCAATCTTTTCTGACCGGAGCAGATCTGTGCGGTGCGCTGATCTCGGATGGCACACAGACCACGCTGCTACATCCCTCTAAATGGCTTCCTGAAGGCTACCAGACAGAGGATGCTCATCAGCTGTTTCAGAGTGTCAAATCCCCAGATATGCATGCAAATTATGCGGTGTATTTGTGCGTCAAAGCGACTGAGCTGGTGTCCGATCGTACAAAATTTGTGGAACTAGGTGAAGATAATGGGTGTACTCCAGATAGGTTCCGCACACGATGGATCAGCCTTTGGAATGACCTACAATGCTGGTTCTCCGAGCGTCCTAGCGAGCTTCTTCCGGTGCAGACAGTCAACCGCAAGCCTTTCCCTCATATCCTGTTCGTCCATTGGGCTGCTATCTCATCGAACCAACTGTACCACACTGCATGCATACTGTTGCTGAAGATGATGCCCAAGGATATTCGGCTTCCACGGTCGCCAACTTTGTTTCCTCTATGGCATGCTCGTCGAATCTGTGGTATTTCCTTGGCAAACCCACACCAAGGGTGCTTGAACAACTCCATTCAGCCACTGTGGATTGCCGGACAGCTTTTCAGTCATGTTTCGGAGCATGAAGAGATCATCAGGCTAATCCAAAGCATCGAGGCCGAAACTGGCTGGGGAACCTGTTGGCGGATTCGGGATCTGGAGGTTGCCTGGGGTTGTTCCGGAATGAGATGAACATGACCCCTCATGCTAGAAACCATCAATGAAGGACCAATCCTCTCGGAGTTGCGTCAAATATCCATCCAAGTCCCATCCGGTGATATTGCACACCCGCTCAAAGCCTTCCAAGATCTCCTGTTGCTGCGATTCATGTGTCATTCTTCTGGCAGCCACCAGGAATGAGGCTATCAGGCATGGATCCCAGGATTCCCGACGGTCATTATTCAGTGCGATGCCACAGATACGTTGCGAATGCCACAGTGGCGACAACGTTATTGACTGCAAGCCCAACAGTGCTGTGCGTGGCTTACACTGCAGCAAAAGTAGCATGGCAGTATGGTACAACTGATTGCAGAAGGCACCCGCCCCGTTTGCGAATAGCAGCAGCGGAAATCCACTTTCGGCCTGGGCAAGTTGATCGTCAACACCCAAGTCCACCATAGGTTGGAATTCGTGTGGTCGCAGATGGTACCATTGCTCAATTGCGTCAAAAACATCCAGCCAGCTATCCAGCTGCTGCTGTGGGGCTGTAAACTGGCCGGGGCTGGTCTGCTGATGATATAGCATCAAAGCTTTTCCACACAGCCAGAGGAGGACATGGGCATACGCTCGGGTTCTTTCCCGGACTTCTTCTATTCTCGACAGAATTGGTAGGCTAGGTAATGGGAGCATCGGAAGTTGTGTCCCAATTGGTCTGTCGTTTGCGAGCGCTGCACTCAAGTCTGGTTTGGTCAGAATGGCACATACATGCGTGGAGGTTTTGGGACGAACCTAGGCGGAAGAACATCCAGTAGATAGATGACGCAATACCTGGATCAAGGGCTTGATGAGCCAATGGATCAAGATTCCGTGTCCGTGTCATGAGGTTCTCCATGTTCTTCCAAGTCTGAGCGATATCGGTGACAAGCCATCTTGTCTCTTCTAGCACGGCCGTCAAAGCATTCTCAGCAGTTAAAGTGAAGCTATCTGACCGCAGCGGACGAGTCCACTGATCAATACGACTAATATGAGACGGTTGCTGATTCCCCGTATCCTTTACAATAACGCAAGCATTGGAAAGTCCCAGCAGAGCTGTCATGAGCGGCTCCGAGCCGAGTGCCATCTGGACCGCAGCGATTCCGAATGGATGAGTGAGATCGCAAATATCGAGCTGCAAGTAATTTGTCAGTCTGCAACTCCACTAGACTGCGTTATACTTACCCATGGTGCTACATGGTACCGATAATGACATATGAGCTTGAGCTTTGCCGTATCTGTCAATGAATTGGCTCTTATGCTCGAATGCAACCTCTCAGAAAACCCCACAAAGCTAGGAGCATGCTTCATCATGACAGGCGTGCTAGCCACCAACTCTGACGAGACGAATCCAGACCCACTCTTCCCGTAGCCTTCATCCGAGACAGCCTTATCATTATTGACACCATTCCCTATCCCCAACGCAAGAAGCCCATGTACAGCGGATTTGTCCCTATCGCTGAAGGCTTTACTACCAACCAATGAGTAGTGCATGGCAGGTGAGCCATGCAGCCCATCATCACCACCAATATCGACCTCAGAACCAATCCTAGATGGAGCCAACACAGTCTCATCTCCCGAGGCCCTCGCCCCATCGCTTATACTATCCTCATCTAGAACATCATCCCCACCCAGCGTAGGATCCTCATTCACAAACTGAAAATAACCACATCGTCAGCGAAAATAGACCCAAAAGCAACAACAACAACAACCTATCTCACGAACCTTAACCCACCTCCACCTCCCCTTCCTCGACCGCTCTTCTCTCCGCACAACCCTCTCCTCTTTCTCAATTGACTTCATATTCGTACTCGTACACAACTCCCCCTCCGCCACCGTCAAAGTATTCTTCGGTAAAAACGTCACTTGTACTCCATAGCGACAAACCAGGTTCTTCTCGATGCAATTCCGACACCGAGGCTTCGTCTCGTCACCTATACCAACCAATCAGTATCATCATCCTCTTTTCCAACAATCGATATGAGAAGAAGTGATAAACATACACTTCCTCCTCCTCGTCCGACACCGCAAACACCCCGTCCGACACCGCGTAAACTTCGTAGCAGGTCTTTTTTCCTCATGAGTTCGTCGACCTGCTACTGCCCCCTTTTCACTGTCATCAATAGACGAAGGGGAAATTGATACATCAGCCATCATCCATCGGTAATCACCATAACATAACCACAAATAGAGCACAAAAGATAAAAGTGAGTGGAATGGAATAGATAAGATAAGATCCCAATCTATCTCCGAAAGCCAAACACCGGAATAGCAAGGTATGATGTTGTTTAGAAACAGAAACTAGAAACACGAGACAGAAGAAGATAGATAGTGATGATAATGGCTAGGTAGGTACCAAGTCCGCCCGCATCCGGGAACAGGAACCGCAATGAATGCGCGGGGTAAAATCTTCCCAGCGCGTAGAGTTGCCTATTTCGGGTTGGGGTGGGGGAGGTGTTTCTAGTTTACCCCGGATTTTCTTGGCTTGGGGGAATTAAGGTTGGGCATGTGTCGGGTGTCAGGGGTCTGAGTGTCAGGTTATTTTAAACTGTAGGGAATTGCTGGCTACTCTTGTTATCTACTAGATCCTACGAAGTCATTCGTATTGCAATAGGGGTTTTTTCAAGTAAAGAAAATTAAAATGTAACGGCCCCATCTCGAATGGAATACAATTTCAGTCTAAAAGTCAAGTCAAGTCTTGTCTCGTCTGGAGAATCTAAATACACAGAAAGATACTGCCTCTAACTCTGGCTAAATGTTGTGAAACTCTGTTGACACTCTCAAATGTAGAACGAAATGGTCTTATTTTTGAATGTGCTCATAGGTAGTGCTCTCAGCTGTATTTCTTGGTGATGTGTACCAGGAGAGCGCCCTCTGTTGGTGCTCCAGTACTGTCATTCAGGTGAATGATCCGATAGCCCTCTTGGAGTCGATCTAGTCGAATGCACGCCCATGCGGCCAGCGCGTTGTGCATCCATTCGTTGTCCTTGATTTTGAATCTGTCTGCAGTTAGCAAGTGCACATGCAGCTACTTTGGGATATAGAAAAGTAACTCACCGAACAAATGTCAATTCATCGAGGAAGCCTGAGACGGTCGCAAACTCCATCTTCTGACTGCCAAAATCGGGGTTCACGCCGGTGACACTCTTCGTGCAATGTTTGTAACCGGTCTTTTCAGATTCAGTGTCGTCCTCAGATGCGGCGAAGCTGTCATCTGGTGTCTCCACGTGCAGGAGACACGTCACGAAGGGGTAAAATTTGTTTTCGTTGGTGTGGCCAGCGGGCAGTGGGATGTTCTGGCCAGCCAGGAACTCAATGGTCAGATCCAGTCGGCGAGGTTCGATAATTCCAGGCTGTGAATCGGAGCCGCGATATCCTGGAGGCTTGAGCACCCAACCTTGTTCCCCTGCGAACATGCCTGAATTGAGCATCATTGCTTTGTCAAAGTTCTGCCAGTTCAGAGCAACCATCTGGGCACCACGCCGCCAGAAGAAGGTCGGATCCATGTTGGAGGAGTCGACTCGCAAGCCATTGGGATAGACGCGCATGAAGAAGTGCCGGTTGTGCTCGAACAACGCGTCGCCATCGGTGGCATGTGCTTCTCGAACGGCTTTCTCGGACAATGAGAACACATGGCTGGGAACCTTGGCCTCTGTTGTATGTCAGTCAGTGACGCAGTACATTACTGGTTGATATGCATCCGAGTGAACTACAACATACCTGGCTGTGCAAAGTTGTTAAAGTGGAATCCCTTGGTGAATACGGCCAGTTTACTGAGCGCCTGCAGGATCTTGGAGGGCTTGTGTGGAGCTGCAGTGGTGGACTCCGGAGTTTGAGGAGTCTTGGAAGCCTCATCCGGACTCGTGGGACTTTTCTGTTGCTTCAAAGCCTCCATGTGCTGGGTATAAACTGCCTTCTCCTTGGCTTCACGGTCTCCACCTTCGTCTACGGATTCGACGTGCTTCACCTTGATCAGGATCTTCCTCTTCAGATCCTTAAGAGGCGGCGGCGGGACCGTGCCAGCTTCGAGTTCAGGCGTCACCTCGACCAACATCCCCTTCCATGCTTCTTCCATGATCTCGACCATTGTCTGCTGCTGTTCCAGGCAGGCATGTACTTCCAAACTAACAATGACTGGAAGGTCGCTTGCAACAAATGCGCTGTCCCGGATCGCATAGCAGACTTCGCGAAAGCTGGTCTCCCTAGTAAGCGTGTGACCATGCAACACTCGTGGCTCTGGTTTACCAGGAACCGGGATCGCGCTACCAGACGCCTTGCTTTCGCCAGAGCTTCCACTGCTCGTGGACGGCTTGTGATGCCCCAGCAAGCCTTCTAATTTGCCAACCTCCTGGGAAAGGGCGCGCAGATGACGGTGGTTCTCAGTCATCTTCTTCAACTTTTCCCTCTTGGATCCGCGACGGGGTTTACAAGAACTGATCTTCTCATCGTCGGAGCTGTTGCTGCCACTAGTGGCACTGCTGTCGCCAGTTTCTTGGGAGCTTTCACCCTCCGCTTTCCCATCCCAGACGTCAATCTCGACGGATCTGCACCCACTGAGTAGGACCTGAGATGATCAGCTGTTGCTATCACAAATCCTGGGGAACTAGAAGAGTCATCGATGGGAGAGTTGGGCATAACAAGGCCATGAGACCTTATTGGTCTTGTTTCAGCATCTTCTGCTCTCAACGCATTCAAATTACGATGAAGAACCAGCCATACTGCACCCCACCCTTCAACAGCGAAGATAGCTCCACTAGTGGATGTTGATGTCGGAAAGAACATACATTGGTATAAGCACTTGCTTTCGATTCACTGTACAGCTGGTTTCCAGTCAAGTACGTATTGTGACTAGTGGAGATGAAATAGTCCGTAATTGGCGCCGAGAGATCCATCTGGGTAGCAGCTCGCATTGCAGAGGCCTCTGGGCTTGCCAAATACTCGTAGAAGGCAGCCAGGGTCGCTAGTGGAGCTGGGTGCTCTTTGGTGGTTGACCCTTGGCCCGTTGGTTCACGCTGGACCTCAGTCAAGAAGTTAGGCTGGTTCATAGATGTCAACGAGCTGTAGATCTTGTCTATGTAGTTGAGCATGGATGGCGCAAAGGGAAGTGTGATCTTCTGCGTGGACAGGGAAGAGTCCATGGTGATGCGACTGGTCTGGGCAGTGAGTTCGTCCATGGTTCCGACAAGAGCAAGGTATGTGTTTCACAGAACAAAACCGAGTGATAGAATAGTCTGTTGGGATAGAGAGATGTGTCGACTGGCCAAGTTACACGATGGTGGGGAGTGATAGTTATGGAGGGGCCTGATGATCGACACCGGCTGTGACACGGGTTCAGGGGGGATCGGAGAACAATTCCAGCTGTCCTCAGGATGGGTAGATGTTGGGCACCGCCGGGAATAAGCGGGTAGTGAGGCTAAAGATGAAAGGTAATCAAAGGGTTTGGATTCTCTATAAGTAGTAGCGATGAGGTTAACGATAATGAAGTGGAAAGAAAGAAAGAAAGATGGAGAAGGGGAAGAGAGGTGTTGTTTCGTTGTTGGCTGAGTTTTAACCAGCTCCACATCCGCGTGGACACTTGGACGGGCTCGTTGGCGGTGACTGTATCATCTGCAACACTTCATAGGCTGCTGAGCTGGTGGAGGAGAGTGGGAGAGGCTGAGATGGATCCTGGCCTGTTCCGATTCAGGGGTTCCCAGGCATACATACTCTCTCGTAGTCCCCAGGCAGTGACAAGTTGCTGGGAAGGTGAGTGATTCCAATTCAATTCCACTGCGGGGCAGGCCTTGTCAATTTGTTGGAATGAAGTCAAGTGCAAAACACGAGATCGCTCTCTTCTTGCCTTTCGCTGTGGATATCATCTCTGAGGTAAGCCGAGCGCAAGTTCAACGCTGGGCAGCGATGAAAGCGAAGCTGCGTCACGCCGGAAGAACAGAACAGAACAAAGCCATTCATCAGTCCTTCTCCAAGAATTCTATGGATCGGTGATGTCATCAATATCCTGCCTCAGGTACCAGAGCTTACTATATCCGTTCGGGACCAGATAATCTTTCTTTCTACTTCCAACATTGTGTCCCAGACAGTCAAGTCAACATGATGAGGCAGAAGATCGATTAAGCTTGTCCCCTGAATAAGATCGGATCTAACCAACGGGTGCATCTTGAGATCTCCACAGTCCATAAGGCTGAGATCGAAATTTCCCCCACCCCGCTTCCGGTTAAGCTGCAAAAAAAAATACATGCGACCGTGGTCCGCATATGCCACAACTTATTGATGGGTCAAAATTTTTGACCACAACTACTGATCCAGGTACCAGATATTATCCCATATAACCTTTCTACTCGATGCTGGACTCTTACCAGTAATCCCGGCAACAGTGGAGCCTGCCTCTGACGCATTACCTCGGCTGGCCGCTGTATTTCCCTCCCGGCGTTGAGTTTCTGGAGCTCTATCGAGATTTCTAGCAACCGCCTACGTACAATCTACCTTGTCGCGAATGCTGGGGTCATCGGATCAGTGCTCAATCCTAGCGCTGAATAAATCTGAAGTCTGTATGCGCTTTTGATAGCGTCCCATAGGAACACTGTCTAAGATTTGGAGACAAACAAGGAGAGAGACGCTTCAAGACAGGCTGACCGTGGTTGTAATCTCAATTACGGTCAAGTGTTAAGACATACACAGGCCATGGATCCTGGTAATCATATGCGACTCTGATGACAGATGAGTCCTTGGATGTCTGGGTTTAGTACTGATTGACAAAATCCAAGGTGGAAAGAGGTCGTAAGTCTCAGTTGTATGTCGAAAGTAAAGTCCATTCAGCGCCTGATCTGGTGAATCAATATGAGTACAAGTCGCATAGAATACATTGAACATATCCCACAAAAGCATTTCTACACTCGTCAGCCACCACCACTGTACATAGCCAACATGTTGCAACCCCATCCAGCAAAGACCTCCCCCCAAGCAAATCGCCAATTGCTGCAAAGAATTTAGAGACCGCGCAAGAAGTTGTCCTCCCGGATACCCTTTCTCCGCGCCTCTCTGGCACTCCGTCTGATTTCGGTACGCTTGTCGAGACTCTCGGCAGCCGCTTCGAGCACGTCCGCGGGGATAGCATCGGCGTTGTATGCAGCAGGGGTAATATCGGTAGCGTGATGGTGGATGGGGATCTGGGGAGGCAGGGTCGCGGCACGAGCGGCCATCTTCTTCTCGTAGCGCTTGCGCTGCTTCTTGTTCAAGGCTATAGGATAACAAAATTAGCGGACCATCACACGGAAACAACACTACTCTATCAATGACGGGCTCCATACTGCTGGGGTCAACACCGCCCGTTGCGGTCTTGTTCTTCTTGGAGTCGTCCAACAACGACCACAGCCATTCGGGGTATTCCGCATCCTCCAGGGCCACAACGTCGGGCTTGTTCTTAAAGTAGTTGAGTCCGTTCATCTTCTGGCCAGCAGCGCAAGAGCTCGGGGGACGTTCCACGGCAGCCTTCTTGGGCTTCTCGGGGTTGACATCAGCGTGAACACCCTCCGGGGTGCTCAATGGTTGGGACACGCCAGGGGTGGCGGACGACACGGCCGACGGGATCGTGATATCGGCACCGGCAGGCTGACGAGGGGTGGGCGGAGGGGGAGTAGCCGATACGGTAGGCTTTCCATCACTGTAGTTGCGGAATTGGCTTCGCTGAATGGGAAATTGGCGTGCGCGTGACGGGATAGACAGCGTAACGGTCTGGGGCTGCTGTAGCCGGGACAAGATACCAGTGCGGCACCGTTGGCAGATCATTGTGGCGTGCTTGTGTTGTTTTGTGAAGAATGGGGTATAATTGAAATAAATCGAAATGACTGCCGCGGTCAAGTCCCAGCCAGCTTTTGAATCAGGGTAGTGCTGGAGATCAAAGTATGATGGCCGACGCGGAGCAGTTGTCGAGAAAACTGCGGCGGGAATTTGATGCCAAGCCGGAGGTACGGTCACGTGCTCATGCTGTGTAGGACCACATTCACCTGTTGCCCACGCTTATACTGTCTCCTGTGACCTCTCTTTTTCCGAAAATAACTAGCGAATACAAGTCTGGGAGATATGATCAATACAAAATTGGGCAAGCGGGCACTTCAAGTCAAAGGTGTCACAGATGCCACTGCGCGTGCTCCGGTCATGAGTGAAGTATCACGTGATCCGAATGGATATGCTGAGAGATTCACGTCAAGAATGTCTTCATGGTTCTACTTTAGGAGATTAGCTGACCGCAAGTAAAAGATCGCATAGATTATTTGATTTCTGCTTTTAGATGGGTGGAGCGTCTTGTATTCCAAATTTGCCTCAGCATTTTGTTCGCATGATATTGCTAATATTACGAGAAAATCAAACATCACGTGGCTTCAAGGTGTGCCAAAGGTGAATACAACAATCTTTGAAGAAGTTGTGACCATTTATCTGGGGGACGAATTCATATTAGCTTCGTTTTGGACTATAGCAAAGACACTCGATTGAGAAACCATCTATTGTACCTGTTCCTGAAGGTCTCTATCACGTGATATTGATTCCGAATAGTGAGGCCTGAGGCAACAAGTATCCGATGTGAATAGTTTACAATTACCCGTTTGGGAAACAAGCTCAGCTTCTGGTTATGCCTTTAGTACTCCCCGTGGGAATCGTAGAAGAATTCTGTTTTGCATCATTCTCTGACTGCAATTCCACAATTTCAGGCCTTATATCTGCGTGTAAACAATGCATCTACGCTGTACTTTTGAGAGAGCAGTATGCATATATATATTGACTTCCGTTAGCCCTCAATACCTCCAGACCTTCAACTTAATACCCGGGTTCTCTGGCTCCATTGTTGAACCAGAAAATATCATTCCGAATTAATCCCATCTGTGCTTGCATATCCAAGTATAAGATTCTCGAAATGATTGAAGATACCAAGTTCATGCTTGCTTCGGCATGATGAAGACATATACCAAGTAGTAACCACTCGGCTAGCAGACAGTCAACAAATCAGCACGTTATAATTTAGGGCATGGTGTTCGGCCTTAAGTAGGGTAGCAACTCACATTGAATAAATCTTTATGCATGTGTACAGGACTGACCCAATATGTCCTACTCTATTTACGTACATCTTTCCCTAATTTCAGTCGCATCTCCTATCATAGCAATACCGAGTCAGCAGCTTTTCGTGAACGATCAAGCCTATCAAAGCCTATTGTAAACCTCAGTTTGGCAATCGGACTACATGTTGTAGCAACACGGTCAACCCTGCCCTATACCGGATCATCAGATATATTTCAATGTTGGCGCCATTCCCGCTGCCTACCCCGTAGGCAGAAATATACCCCGGCCACTCGAGACGCAAAGAGATCCAGGCTCACAGAGCACTGCAGTAGTAGGTACATCATCGGTTTGTCTTCGAAAGCTTGTGCTATTCCACAAGTTCACGCATGCAGACTGCCCTTCAAACAGTGGCGTTGGATCAACGTCTGTGCACACATCAAACGGAGCATGCTACTGGTAGCTGCAGAATCGACTAAGGCAAGCTGCGCAATCACTCAATCATCCAGATATCGCTGTCTGACAGGGTGTTCGCGACTTGTTTGAACCTCTCATCAGCGCTAGTTGTCTCCTGTCTCTCTGCACGTATGACCCTCCATGCGGAATATTTAGCTCCTCAGCACCGGCGACTTTTGGGTTCGCTATTGCATATGCTTTTCTGTCTCCAAATCTATTCAGATAAATGATCTATTGGTAGACAAAGAAATGAATCGCTGATGAGTCGCAGAGGGGTAAGATGGTCAGCGTGACTAAGCTTCCTCCGGGACGCCTTCTTGTTTGATCTGTCTTTCGACACTCCCCCGCCTCTTACCTCTCGGATTTCATACTAGAGGGCCCTTGGGCTCAACTACATCTTGCACATCTTGGACAGTGCCATCACTTCTACCTTTAGAGTGACAGCTCATCCATGCTGCAAGCCTCCTGTAACCCGTCTTTACAGATGACAGTTTTCGATCAACCTATGCTGGGTGAGGCAATCTGAATCGCAATAATTAAGATGCTTACACTGAATTTACTAACATGAGTGATTTGCTAGTTTGAATTACAAGAACAATAATGGCTTCAAAATGGGTTAAGAATGAGATTGTACAATGACACATACACTATGCATTATGGGGATGGACATAAGTGGGGGACCCGAATCTATCATGCAAAAACCACAGGGTACTATGAACCTGCCGAGATTCCAAAGTGCAACGAAAGCGAAATGGATATAAGAAAAACAATAATGCTGTCAGGACTGGAGCCTGATTTTGGGCTCCCCCTGAAGAGAGGAAGAGACATGGGAAGAAGATATAATCACGCCAAGCGCCAATGATGAACAGAAAACAAGCATACGGCCTAAGAGGACAGACCGCTAACATTGAGGAAATTGCATAAGCTCACGCAAGCATCCTTCAGGGACTTTTCGGTCTTCCACTCAAGCTCGTCCTGCGACCTTGTGGCCACAGCGACACAGGAGCCAACATCGCCAGCGCGGCGACCAGCAGCCTTTCTCGGGATAGGCTTGGAAGACACTGCTTCCATTGTGTTGACCACTTCCATCACGGAGTGGCCTCGGCCGGTTCCCAGGTTGAAGGTACGGAAGTTCTCAACGAGCTTTCCACCGTTGGCGGCGTTGAGTGCAGCAATGTGCCCCCTAGCAAGATCGGTGACATGGATGAAGTCGCGAACTGCAGTGCCATCTTCGGTGTCCCAGTCGGTGCCAAACATCTGCAGCTCCTTATACTGTCCGGTCATAACCTTTACGACAACCGGGAGAAGGTTCGTGGGCGTCTGCCTGGGATCCTCTCCAAGGAGCCCAGACTCGTCACATCCTATAGGGTTGAAATAGCGTAGAGCTACAATGGTCCATTCTGGATCAGAGGCGGCAAGGTCCGCTAATATCGCTTCACAGATCCATTTGGTGCGCCCATACGGGTTCGTAATACCCGTGCAACCAGGCCTGACGGTTTGCTCCTGACCGTCTTGATCACTGTAGACCTCTTCTTTATGGACACAGAGTTCTTCCTTCAAGGGAAGACCAGATGTTGCCAAGGTTCCGTACACGGTGGCGGAGGAGGAGAAGATGAAAGTTTTGATGCCAAATTCTCCCAAAGTCGTGGCAAAGTCGATGAGGCCACTAACATTGTTCGCGTAATACTTCAAAGGATTCTTGATACTCTCTTCCACGGCCTTATAAGCGGCAAAGTGAATGACGCCTCCAATCCTGGACTTGGGAGTACCCCATCTGGATTGGATCTGATACTGCTCAAGAAGGCCTCTAAGAGCAGCAACATCCCGGAAATCATGGGCGTGGAGCTGCAACGACGGCATGCACGTCCCCTGCTCGTCATGGTACTTTGCCGCCAGTTGCCTGATGCGGTCGAAGACACTCTGGAAAGAGTTGCTGAGATTGTCGATCACAATTACATTATAGCCGGCCTTGAGTAGCTCCAATGTTGTGTGACTGCCGATGAACCCGAGACCCCCTGTGACGAGGATGTACTGATCGAGGGGAAAGTTGCGCAGCAATTCTTCCAGGTTGCCATCAAACAACACGGAAGATTGCGTCGCCGGAGTGTCCACACAACCAGGGGAGCAAGGCTCCACAGGAGTGCTTGCATCGGACTGTCGAGGGCTCTCCATAACTGATAGGGTCGAAGGATGAGGCACCGTTTGGGGGCGATGCGGACAAGAAACACTTGGACAAACAAGAACAAGGAAACGAAAGAAAGATATTATTCTCCCCACGAGAATTTAACGACCGCAGGTGACTCGGCTTTGAACGGGATACCCAAAGAAAGGAGTTTCCCAAATCTTATATTTTTCCTCAAAACGAGCAACAGGCCCTCCCACTTGCGCGCCGATGTAACCGCTGTCTCTGGCCCGCTAGGTCAGGCGAAGATATCGTGATCCGTGACTTGCTTATTTACAACGAATCATAACCAGAATAAGCGAATGGATGCAGTAAAATGCAAAACCGGCGACAAAAAGAAATATATGGAAGGCTGGCTTCTGAAAAAAGACGAAAAGGCACAGGGAAAAGGAAAGAATGGAAAAAGAAACGAGCGAAACTAGAAGGAGAAAAAGCAAATATAAAGAGAGTGGACGATGTTGTCAGCGGTTGCTGCTTCGGTATGAGAACGGGGCCTAGAAGGCTTACTGGGTCATCGAAAACGGATTTCGCCTCCGCTGGGGGGTAGGCATCGAACGAACTCTGGTCGCCTCCACTGGAGCTGCAGGATGTACAATTGGTACGAGAAGGCGCTCTCGACCAGGGAAAAGAGAAATTGTTCTCTCCAGCTAATCCGAGACCTGATGCATGGTCGAAACCCTGCCCCGCTCTATTTTGGGCGCGCCGCATCCATACTCTTACTTTCGACTTTTTTTTTAATTTTCCACTGCCCTCCTTACAATTGTTTAACCTCGCATTATCCAACAGCGAACAGGCTTGGAAACGCTGATGACTACTTAATTGTTAGTCTCCCGGCCGACTCTGGTCCAAATCCGCTATGGCCAAAGGGAGCCCACTTGCTAGCTCGTTTCGACCCCCCGAAATTTGGCGCGCACGGTTTCGAATTACATCGTTAGCTTCTCAAAGCCAGCAGAATGGGGCAAGGGGAACACGTGAGAGACCGGCGCTGCCTGCAAAGTCGGCGCTCGCGACTCATTCTGGCAATCCTTGTATTCATTGCCCTTCTCGCCGTCGTCATACCACCAGCAGTGGTGTTGACCCTACACAAATTCACCATGGGCCCTAAAGCGTCAATTTTCGTACCGCTCTACGTCTACCCTGCACCGGGAGCATGGGATCCCTTAGAGAAGGTGTAGGTGCTACTTTTCCTTTTGTTGTCCCCTTCCCCATATCTCAACAAGCCCTCGCCAAATGTTAAACCCCCTCCCCCTTCCCCTTCCCCCCGCCAACCACATTGTACTCTCAGTCCATGCCCACGCTATCTGTCAGCCACCGGATGTCCCGCGGCACGATACAAGTAACCCTGATGTACGAAGGACGCAGCTGAACGCCACAGGATCTCTTCTCATCCCGATGTCAACTTCACCGTCGTGGTCAATCCTGGTAGTGGTCCAGGGCCCAACGCCTTGCCCGATGGCAATTACACACGAGAGATACCCAAGCTGGCATCTTATGGCAATGTGCGCCTCCTGGGCTATGTTGCTACCACGTACGCGCAGCGCAACTTCTCGTTGGTGCGGCGGGACATTGAGACCTATGCGGCGTGGCCGACCAACAGTTCGAACCCCAATCTAGCGGTTCGGGGTATATTTTTCGACGAAACCCCCCAGCAATACGAAAACAATACCTTGGCCTACCTCCAAGATCTGACTGCTGTCGTGAGGACGACCGCCGGCCTGGGTCCGGACCATTATGTACGTGCAGAAGTCTCTCCCGTATTTTCATTATTTCATTACTAGTGGTAACGCCGGGTAATTTACACGATTACCAAACTTCGGCAGCTGGCATTTCCGCCCACTGGATCATTGCCTTTTGCTGCCCCCTCAATGCATGGTCCTTTTTTACTTTTTTTGGAGCTTCTGTTCTCTGGCGCCTGTTCCTGCCGACCATTCTAACTCAGAGCCGTCGTTTGGATCGTCCGGATAGATCTGGATGGACGCCCACCATTGGCCAGAGTTTTCCATGCTAACGAGACCCCCTCAACCAGGTCGTCCACAATCCCGGCACGATTCCTGATGCCCGCTACTTGCCGACGGCTGATTCGACTGTGGTCTTTGAGGCAACCTACGAGACGTTCTTGGAGCGTCAAGGGGCTAAGCTGTTTAAGGAGATCCCGAATTGTACTCGCAGCCAGCTGTGCGCCGTGGTCCACTCGGTGCCGGACAGCGTGGAAGGGCACAAATTCCGAGACCTGGTGAAGCAAGTGCGCAAGGTCGCAGATGAGATTTTCATCACTCATCTGGATACAGATTATTATGCGAGCTTTGGAAGCCAATGGGAGGAATTTGTGGAACTAATGGCACGATCGTGAGGTGGCAGATGCCTGGTGCATATTATTTCTTGGTATATACAGTATTTATGACGTATACGATAAAAGATGTGATTATTGAAGTGAAAGGGATGAGAGGACTTTTTCGTCCAACTTGTATCCAATGGTTGCAGACGATGACACCAGTGTAACTGAATTCGGGATCTATTGCGCCAATTCCAAGGCATTCCTCCAGAGGTTTAGCTCAGGCAGAAACAAAGAAGCTAACTAACTAACTAGCTCCGAGACTTCTAAACCCAGTGGTAGACTATCTTCTTTTCCATCTTCCAAGGAAAGATACATCCATTTCCCCCTCTTCAAACAAGGTACATGGTTAGTTTCCTTTACAACACATCCATAGTGGGGCCATTACCCACCCGTAAATTTCATTCTCCGCGGTCCCCGATCCGATTCAGAGCCACTACCGAATTCCAGCCCCACTGACCAAACCAGTCCAGAAAAGTCTGCCATTGCCCACCTTGTATCATGGTCAAACAGGGCTAACCACGAGTCAGAGGTAAGTGGATATGGATGATCTCATCGGTTAGATCATTAGCTTTTTCCTTTCTTTTCCTTCTTTTTATGTTTTATTCTATTCTATTTTATTTTATTTATTTATTTATTTATTTATTTATTTATTTATTTTTGGTTCGGATGAGGTAGGGATTGATAGTTGGATGAGTTGTGGTAAGTAGGTACAATGCATGCTGCATGCTGCATAAAGATGTGTAATTAGGTACATGAGTAGATAGGTAAGGTTCATGGAAGACTGAGTATTCCGAATCTCTGGGATCATTAGGTAATTACTATGCCAGTCGTATATGATCGTGATAAAATTGATTAGGTGCTTCTTCTATACGAAGAGTGGCATGAGATGATATGAGATGTTTTCTACATGCGCACAGTAAGAAAAAAGAAATACTAAGGAAGCAACAGATGATCAGACCTCCGGGCTAACTTGCTGCATGTCTTGGATCATCTACTAATAGGAATTGATCTCTCCTCGAGGCAAGTGGCATGGCATGGCATGGCATGGTTAGGGCTTGGAGGACCCTACCTACCGACATCCTTCCTTCGTATTCGGTAGATAGCTACGGGGTATATTATTACCTATCATTTGAGAGTTACCTAGTTGGTTAAGATGGATGCTACTGTAGGTATGTGATCAGTAGCAGGAAGAAGAAGGAATAAGAATGGATGGATGTATGCATTGATTGAGTTTTTCCGAGACCTGCATCACTAACAGACATCTGATTGATCCATCCATCCATCCATCTCTATCTGTCGGGACTTCGGATTCCGTAGGATGTATGTCCCGCTTCTAGTTGGTGTCTAGTGATAGTAGTGATGTTTCACGTAAACATAAAAAATGGTAAAAATAACTCCATGCTGTCACACCGTCATCTAAGTAAGGTATGTTATGTATGTATGTATGTATGTTGTCGGATTACTCCGTTCCCATCATCATTATCTTCGTTTCAATGGAATAAACAGATATGTTTACTATGTATGTATGTATGTATGTGGACGCCATGGGTGCACCGCATAATAACATACACATACATATCAAGTGCCCTGCATATTGTGGCTGAATCTCCTCGCGCTGGGAGGGGCCAGAAATGTTCCGTTCGCGGGTCTTGGAAAACTGCACCCCCGTCCCCCCTGTCCCGTTCCCCCTGCCCCCTTGTCAGACATACATGTTATGTTTAGGTTATTTTTGGATCGATCGGTTGGGCTTGAGGGGAGGGGGGGGGTTGGGTAGAAGTTGGATTTTTGATTACTACATGTGTAGATTAATTGTATGATATGTTGATGATGAGATGAGATGAGATGAGTGCGATGGGTTGGGTGCATTGGTACTGTAGGTATGTATTACTTGGCAGGGTTGCCACTGGCTCATTACACAGATACTATCTACTACCACAACTTACTGGTTAATACATGATCTGGTAGGATGACTCTCGTTACATCGCATCCGGAGTTAAGTTTCCTTCCCAGTAATAGCAACTCTCTACTTCCTACGTAAACTGTCACACTTCCGCATAATTCATCATCCTCTATTTCTTTGTATAGGTCTCATGAGAAAAATCCAGCTACCACGTTTCACCCCCTCTAATTAAACCCTAAACAACTAGACGTAAAGCAATGTCAACATGACAGTAATAAAGAGTGATCTCGGCTAAGCTCGACGATCGTCTGTCAGCCATGTCGATCGATGAGCATTGAGTTTTAGTGGGGTTACTAAACCCTCACTAACACCCTAGTCCTCTTCTCTAGCACGAACTTCGACCCTTCCATAAGGTAACACAAACTGCCCACGGCAGGGAATGGATTGATTATGATCGGTCGGAGATAGTTTCTACAAGCGGAGCGAGTCGATAACATGGATTGAATGCTGTGTATCTTGATGTTGATTTCACTGCATAGAAATGATTGATGGATGACCGGGTCATTCATGATACATTCCTCTTCCCGCACGGAGAAATATATATCAGAATACTACTCTCCTACAAAATGGTATGATTGTAACAGAGCGAGCACTCTATTAGAAGTAGGTAGTGGGGTTCAGAGTCATGAGCCGCCAAAAGTAGAATCGATATTACTATTATTGCTTCAGCTGTCAGGTTTCCCGAGATTAAGGGATCATCTATCTAGATGAATCAGGGAAGCGGGAACTGCGGTTGTTTGAGATATTACTATCTTAGGAGTCCGTATACTACTAGGGTCTCTAAAATGTATTTCCGACACTACTTCCTGTCCACCTGTCTATCTACTTAGGGTAATGAACTAATCTATACTCTGTCATGTAGGTAATCTATCCGACACACTGTCATCGAATAAGCATATAATAGAGCGACATAAGTCTAATGCAATTAATATGAATGATGGCTTGAGTCAAGTAGCTTAAACTAAGCTACCCTAACATCTCAACATGCTACATTTGGAGTATCATATCATGCCATTGACTCTATTATTACCTACCTCCTAACTTGACACTTCAAGTAAGCCAGTCCATTCCCCAACCACTAACCAGCTAGTACAATGTAGTTAGTTAGCTGGTTAGTAATTTCTAGTGCTAACGCATGCATGCATGCATACAGCCCGCCTGCAGCTGTTCGTAGAAACAATCCCAATCAGAGCGCAGCGGTGACCAGAACGCCAAGACCACTCACTCACTCACTCACACTTCCATGTTCTTCCAGCCCAATATTCTGTAAGTAAGGTCAAGATTTGAAATCCGCCCTCGCTTGGATTTCAGCGCCTTACTCAAGTAGATTACACACGGAGGAGATCTAGAATCTTGACGGGTTGTTACCGAGCGCATTGACTTTCGTTCGTTGTTTATTTGCTCCCTTTTACTCACTAACCAACTCACTAATTATTTACCCAACTAGCCAGGAAAGGTCAACCACCGGTGGATAGTGTCAAGTAAGTGGGATGAACTATGCAGAGGAGGGAATTACCTCCGGCGCGAACTAAACCTCACCTACCTAACTAACGGAAGAACGCCGTCAAAAACATGGAAGGGATGAAAAGTGTGTGTGTGAACTGTGAAGCCACTAACTAAAGTAGCCTAACTAACCAAAGATGAGAATTGTTGAATGAGAATGGTTCCTGAATTTTCTTGCTGGGCCCCACAACACACCGCCCACCCGGCGATCTTTGGCCCAAATGGGGATTGGAAAGTGGGGAATGAGTGGAAAAAAGTCCGGTTCAGGAACCCGGCAAATCTCTACTCTTTTCTTTCCCACTCTTTTCTTCATCTTCTCCGGAACATGAACGGGTGGTGCTGCTAATCGGGAAAAGCAATGCCGTCGGCGAGATTCCTTTCTTTTTTCTTCTCCTTCCTGGCGCTAAGTGGGTGATGGTGAAGTTTATCTCTGGGAGGATCTGGATGAAGCAACTTTTCGTTTTCTTCTGTATTTTGACTTCCTGGTTGGCTGGTTTTGGTGTGTTTTATTTTGGTGGTATTTCTGCTTGCCTTGCGTCCTTCTGGTTGAATATTGTATCGGGGGCTGTTCCGTGTAACCCTTTCAGGTCGGTGTTTACACTGTTGTACTAGTCTTGACTTACGTAGAAGGCGGTCTGTGTTTGTAGTTGTCATGGCTATATCAGTTCCTGATAAGTCTGATCCCAAGGTTAAATCTTTGACAGATTAATCTATTTCTTTGTGAGCTAAAGGATGAAGGGAGGGGAAGGGGAAGGGGCAGAGGCGTTGAAAGTCAATTCAGCTTGACGACATCCAGGCACTGAATGATCCCACACATTCATTACCAGTAAGTTTGAAAATTACCGTTACCGAAATATATGGTATCAATGATCACCACCGGTATCGAGCAATACTAGTCTCGGGACACTCGGACACAACAATCCAGTTCCTTAGTACTATTCTACTTAGTCTCCCTTAGCGTTGGCCATTCGCTCTCTTCTCTGGCTCAGATTCTATTCTCCACTCCACGCGTGTGAGAGATTCTAGCAAGGGAAAGCTAAATCGCCTAGCGCTTATTACATTGATAATCTTAATCTGGAATAAGATATTCCCATTGCTAGTCTAGTCTGTTTAGCGTGGAACCCGCTACCACTATCTACACTACTTAGTATCTGGTTAGTCTCTTTGGATCTGATCCTGGATAGGTTAAGTGGGCGTCTGCTGCTGGTCAATTCTCCGTTTTCAGCACTCGCCACACCACCAACTAGACTAAAATGTGCCCAAGTCTGGTTTGGTCCACGGGTTCATCGGATATCAAGGCACCAGGGGAAAGACCCAATTTTTTCCCCCTATGTATTTCTAAGAGAAATCAGGTTCTTACTACGTACTCTCATTGATTGCTGGTTGCTGAGGGGTGCACGTTGCACCTACCTACTATTCAGTAATCACTAGTAGTTAATCATTTGTTTTCGTTCTACTCCACCGCCATACCTTATTGGCGCGAGACTGTTAGACCAGACCGGGCCGGTTCATGACCTAGATTAAATACCAAGACGCTTGCTTCGTTCAACTCAACGTGGTCTGGTCTGTTCCCAGCGTGGCGCCGTGGGTTTGACCGTGAGACAACGGGGGGCAGGAGGGGGGCCGAGAGGGGGCCTTTGCTCTGATTTTTGGGCGGTGCGATGGCGAGATCGATGGCCAAGGGACGGGGCTGGGCTCTGCTAGATCCTGGTGTCTTGACTAGGACTAGGACTAGGTTTTGAGGGGGTCAGATGGTGTCATTCATCTATTCATTCCAGGCAATGGAATGCGTCCGCTTTCTTGATCTGAGTTTGATTAAGTGGCTTTTGTCGGCGGATGAGTTGGTTCCAGATGATACGATTATTGTTGCACTAAACTCTAGTCTCTAGATACTAAAGAGTGAGACGGGTGAGAGGATGGCATGGTATGGCAGGTATGGCAGGTATGCTATGCATGATGTTGCTTGGGGAGGAAAGGGGTTGTCAATGACAGCAAGCAGGTAGTTAGGTATTCCAGGGAGAAGGTGTGGGTGCTGCATATGACAAGTGACGATCAATCATAAACTTTCTAGACGAATGCTGGATTACATCATAGTAGATAATAGTAGCAAAACCATTTACAGTACAATAAGATATCGCTATCAAAGCTCCCTGCGCCCTTGCTTGTGTGACGAAATTCCAGTCCCTACATTCCAACCATCTGAAAACGGCCCTGCTAGCACATCTCGATCCAATTGTCCAGGTCCATGTTCTTGATCACCGTGGAGAAATTGCCCGAGTCAGTGGCGTTGCACGCCTTGGACTTCTCACTCGAGCTCACTGACAGGTTGTTATTGGTGTCGTCACCCTTGGGGTATTCGATGTGGAAGACGGGCT